GCAATATTGCTGGCAAAGGCAGCATATGAAGGCGAAAATGTTCTAGTACCAACAAAGTATGGGGGTACAGGGAAGAAACACACAGAAAGCAAACGAGGATGAAATGACAGACAGGCTGCAGACCATAATGTGCTGTGCTTGCAAATGCCCATGGATTTCTGGAATTATTAAACTCAGCCATTATCAGCAATCATATTTTTTTAAAAAAAGATTAAAAAAAGATTAATTTATTTGAAAGAGTTAGAGAGAGGAGAGACACCTGCTGGTTTACTCCCAAAATGGTTGCAACTGCTGGGGTTGGGCCAGGCCAAAGCCAGGAGCCAGGAGCTTCCTATGAGTATCCCACATGGGTGCAGGGGCCCAAGCGCTTGGGCCATTTTCCACTACTTTCCCAGGCCCATTAGCAGGGAGAAGGATCGGAAACGGAGCAGCTGAGACTCAAACTGGCACTCATATGGGATGCCAGCTTCACAGGAGGTGGCTTTACCCACTATGGCAGAATGCCACTGTGAACTTACTCTTAGATAAATTAAGTCCAAACCAAAGTTAAATAGTAAAAATGACTTGCTTCCTAGTTTATTTTGTTATACTGTTGCCTTTGTTACCTGGGATATCTAGGTTAATTGTCCCCATGTGGTATAGATACTACGTAATGGTGTGCTACAGAGCATTTCTTCCCAGCTTCGTGTCCATGCGTGTCAGTACATGCTGCAAACAGGGTTCCCTCTAAGCCCCAGAAGCCCGTTAAATCTTTACCAACCTACATGGACCTATGTGTCACAGTTTTCTTTCCCTTGGGGATCTGATTCAGGTGAAGGAAAACGAGACTGTCAGGATGACTCATAACTTTAGCTGTCTAACAGAAGTGATGGTGGTGCCATTTATTGTGAGAGGATTTGTAAGTGGGATGGGACATGAAGGGAGAAAGACAATAAAGTTTGGACTTCCTGCATTTGGCTGTTGGTTTTATGGGTCTGGAGCTCAAGAAAGAAATACAGATTACAGGAATACAGTTGAATAATCTGCGTGCAGGTAGTGTTTAAAGCCATAAACAGGGATGATGTTGCTCAAGTTGAGTAAGCAGCCTGAGAAAACCGTCCAGGCCAGAAGCCCAAGGACTCTTGTAAGACGGGTAGGGAGAAGCCAGCGAGGTGTTGATGGTCAGAGATGTCTGAGGATAAACTGTGTCAAAACAAAGCTCCTGTTCTCAACGGTACTTAAAGGGAGGGAGGCAGGCTTATAAGCTGAGGGTTTCAAAGTAGTAAGCTCTCAAATAGGCCAGTGTTGTTTTCATGACAGCCCAGACGCCCCGCCACACACTGCCTGGGAAGAGAGATGAGGAAGAGTCAAGAAGGACTTCACAGAGAACGTACCATTTGAGCTGCTTTTGTAGCACTGGAACATTTATTAGCAAAAACCTGAAAGCCCAAGAAAAGAGGAAGACAAAATGGTAAAGGGCATTTCCCCCAAAATATACATTTGGTTTTCAAAAATTGCCTTCACTTTTCAAGGTACAGTCTCCAAATACACCAAAGTATAACTTTTTTTTTTTAGCAAACCAAGTTATACACACTATTGTTTCTAAATTAAAAAGTGACTTTAGATCTGTTTTTAAAGGGGATTTTTAAAAAGTATACAGTAGGGGCCGACGCAGCGGCTCACTAGGCTAATCCTCCACCTGCGGCGCCGGCACACTGGTTTCTAGTCCCTGTCGGGGTGCCGGATTCTGTCCCGATTGCCCCTCTTCCAGGCCAGCTCTCTGCTACGGCCAGGGAGTGCAGTGGAGGATGGCCCAAGTGCTTGGGCCCTGCACCCACATGGGAGACCAGGATAAGTACCTAGCTCCTGCCTTCGGATCAGCGCGGTGCGCCGGCCATGGCGGCCATTGGAGGGTGAACCAACGGCAAAGGAAGACCTTTCTCTCTGTCTCCTGTCTCTCTCACTGTCCACTCTGTCAAAAAAAAAAAAAAAAAAAAAAAAAGTATACAGTCGGCTCTCAACTGTGGATTCAACCAACAGCAGATCAAAAATATCTGAAAAAATTTGCATCTGTAGACATTTTTTCCTTGTAATTATTCCTTAAACCATACAAACATCTACATAACATTGACATTGTATTAAGTATTGAAAGTAATCTAGAGATGGTTTAAAGTACACAGGAGAGTGTACTAATTAGATGCAATATCAGCCATTTTATATAAAGGACTTGAGTATCTAAGATTTGGTATGGGGGGCGGGGAGAGTTGTCCAGGAAATAATCCCCTAAATACTGAGCGACTAATTTATTTAAATTTCACCCACTTTCTCCCCTCCTCCAGAAAATGAGTTCTTCAGGATTTTTTCTTAACCGTTCCAAATTCAGTGAACATTTAACATACCCACTTGGGAAGTGTCTTGAGAACAGTTCCATGGGAAGGAATGGTCTCTTTAGCTAACTTTGTACTTGATAAAACTTTCACTCAGTTTTTCTTACTCATCCACATAGACCTTTCTCTTGGCTGTCTGGAACACAGCACAGGGATGATGTGAGTCTGAATATGCCTTGAAGCTCACTGCAAGTGAAACAGGTTCCGTGCACTAGACTTCCAGCTCACTGACACTTGTTGTATCCCTTTGTGATGTCCATGCTTAAACTGTTTTGAAATAATACAGAATTCCAGAGGTCAGGAACAGGTGCTGCTGGCTGTTCATGCATGTTACAAGTCACCTGAATATGAGGCAGTGAGTGAAGAGGTACCAGAAAAAAGGATCTTTGGGGGGAAACAGAAAAAAACACTAAGGTAATCGACAGTGGACTAGAATACACATTTCACGGGTGCAATCTCATTTGGAATTTGTGATGTTAACCTTCACAAAGCCAGATTAGATTTTAAAATAGCTTTTCCTATCTTTGGATCTTTTTTTAAAAACCATTCAACATATCAATGCTGTAAACTTGTAAAACCAGCATTCCAATCTGAAATCTTGAGGTTAGGTCAAATCCAGTTCAGCTTTAGAAGGCCTATCCACTCCTTGTCTCTACTTCCTTCCCATCTCACCATGGATTATTTGTGCCCAGCGGTTTCTCCCTGGACTGTGCTACGCATAATAAAAATCAACACAGAAAGGCAATGCCTCCTCTGTCATTCTAAATGTGATGGGGCTGGCACTTTGGTGCAGTGGGTTCAAGCCCCAGCCTGCAGCACTGGCATCCCATACAGGTGCTGGTTCGAGTCCAGGCTGCTCCACTTCTGATGCAGTGCCTTGCTAATGTGCCTGGGAAAGCAGTGGAGGATGACCCAGGTCCTTGGGCCCCTGCACTCACTTGGGAGACCCGGAAGAACTCCTGACTCCAGGTTTTGGATCGGCGCAGCTCCGGCCAGTGTGGCCATTTGGAGAGTGAAATGGTGGAAAGAACCCTCTTTCAGTCTCTACTGCTGTTACTTTTTCAAATAAAATAAAAATAAATAAGTAAATGTGTTGTTATCCTTACAGCCAATGATCTAGATTAATATCATTTTCCTGAAGAGGAAACTAAGACTAAGAGAAGTCAAGCAAACTGCTCACAGAAACAGAATGCTAGGATTCAAATCCAAGCTCGTCTCAACCCTTAAAAATTATGCTATGCTGCTTCCACACACAGGATATGAATCTCTATAATCATATTTAATTTTACTATTTAGCCTCAGAACTCTTACATAGGAAGGATCCTTTCATCTTTCTTTAATTTTTCATTTTTTTGACAGGCAGAGTTAGTGAGAGAGAGAGACAGAGAGAAAGGTCTTCCTTCCGTTGGTTCACCCTCCAAATGGCCGCCACGGCTGGCACTGTGCCGATCCGAAGCCAGGAGCCAGGTGCTTCCTCCTGGTCTCCCATGCGGGTGCAGGGCCCAAGGACCTGGGCCATCCTCCACTGCCTTCCCAGGCCACAGCAGAGAGCTGGACTGGAAGAGGAGCAATCAGGACAGAATCCGGTGCCCCAACCGGGACTAGAACCCAGGGTACTGGCGCCACAGGCAGAGGATTAGCCAAGTGAGCCATGGCGCCGGCCTTTCATCTTTCTAAAAAGCCTCAGTCCAAGCAGTATCGAGGCAAAAAAAGATTCCCTAATAGCCCAGCATCATCCTCTCAAACCACTCACCAGGCACTGTGGTAAAAGGTGACTCTTAAAAGGTGATTTTTGTCCACCATAACCAATAGATTATAGTCAAGCTGTATCTGTGCTAGGGGTGGCCAAGACTACCCCTAGGTTCAGAGATGTGCTAGAACTCAGGATTCAGCATACAGTTCTATTCATGGTATGATTTATTACAGAGAAAGGATACCAAGCAAAATCAGCAATGGAAAAAAAAGGTACATGGGGTGAAGTCCTAGAAAATTACGTGCAGGCTTCCAAATCTTGTCTCAGCAGTAATAATAGCACACGTGAAATGCTGTCCATCAAGGAAGCTTCTTAAGAGATTCAGTGCCCATGGTCTTTACTGTGAGCTTGTTAAAGGGGCAGCCTACCTGGCACATAATAAAATTCCAGGTTTCCAGGGCAACAGATTCTCAGCACAAATCACCATGTTTGTACAATTTAGGCATCGTTGAATTACTCTGATCAATTCTGGGAAAGGTGGAAACCTTCTGCAATTCATGTTCCCAGGAGCCAGCACAGTGGGTTAAGCTGCCCCTAGGGACCCCACATCCCCTATCAGAGTGCCTGGGATAGAGTCCCGCCTCCACTTCTGATCCAGCTTCCTGCCAATGTGCAGCCTGGGAGGCAGAAGGTGATGGTTCCATTTCCTGACTCTCTGTCACCCCCACGGGAAACTCAGATCCTGACTCCTGGCTTCATCTTAGCACAGCCCTAGCAATTGCAGGCATTTAGGAAGTCAACAAACAAAAACTCTCTCTCGCTCTACTTTTCAAATAAACAAAAATGAATATACACTTAAAGAATAAGCTAAAATATGGAAATATTTGCTTTACGGCATCATAAGGTTTTCATTTACAAAAGTAAAACTTGTAGTTCAAATGTAACATTGATATCCTGATTTTTTTAACTTTATTGTGCTTCAGCCATTTCTCTGATCATTTAAAATATATTTCAATAAACATTTCCTATTTTGTAAATTGCACTTTAAAATGAGAATTTTACAAATTTCCAATCTTAATAGTATCAAACAAAAAAACAAAATATTTGAGCTTTATTCTAAGGAATGAAATTAAGAGCTGGCAGTGCTACCATAAGAATAAATATCATTTGAATAAAAAATAGGAGATATTTTAATGGGAAAAAAAATAAGAGCTGAAGGAAGGAGAAAATTTCCAACCAGCAGTCAGTACTTTCTTCACAATTGCTACTATTTATGCGAATACATCATTAAATAAATACTTCTCTAATATTTACAAAACAGAGGTGGAGGGAAGAACCTAAAGTATTAGAGTCTTTGACTAGCTGTCCCTCTTCCAATCTTCTGGATACATCAGTTTATATACCAACTCAAAACATGATTCTAATTAACTACAGTTGAAAGTTTATCAATTAAGTCATCAATAGTATAAACAAGAAGCTGAAGGTCCGCTTTTTCCTTCATTCGGTGATCACTGTGTTTTCGGAGGATTACGTCTACGTCCGTGCTGACGACTCGGTCGGCCACCTGCATGGACGTGTGCCAAGGCACGACGTCATCCTTCATGCCGTGCAGCAGTCTGATGGGGCAGTTCACAGGGATAGGGCTGTGCAACAAGCAGTGGTGCTCTGCTTCTTTAATGAAGCTGTACTGAATGTGATAAACTCCTTCTTCGTGGTATTTTGACGGCATGGTCCACACCCCTTTCATCTCAACCTCCTTTTTCACCTATTGGGGAAATGAAAAAAAATTCAAGTATGTGTGCAACATTAACACATTAAGTAGTCTTAAAATAGTCTAACAAAAGTAGTCCATGAGTAAAGTGACAGAAATAATGAAAGCATAACAACCATAATCCTCAATAATTAAATACAGTGTGCAAGATACTGTGATAAATGGGGCTGGCATTGTAGCACATCAGGTTAAGTAACTGCTTGTGCCACCAGAATCACATGGCCGTATAGGAGAGCTGGCTCAAGTCCTGGCTACTCTGCTTCCAATTCAGGTTCCCACTAATGCGCTTATGAAGTCAGCAGAAGTTGGCCCAAGCACCTGGGCCCCTGCCACCATGTGGGAGAACCGAAGGAACTCCTGGCTTCTAGCTTCAGGCTGGCCCAGATTTGGCTGTTACGGCCATTTGGGGAGTATACCAGTGGATGGCAGATCTCTCGTTCTTTCTCCATCACTCCCTTTCCATTGCTCTTTTTTTGAAGCAAATAAATACATCTTAAAAAAAAGAAGGCTACTGTGACACAAATTTTACATATATTATTTCATAAGATCTTGACAATAATTGTTATTGATTTTCATTAAATAAGAAAATTTAAATATCATGTTCAAAGATCAAGGTTAGTAACTATTATGACTAGGATTCAAACTTACATTTATCTAACTTTAATCCACAGCATCTTAAGGTGCTGCTTCACCTAGACTAAAAAAGGGAATAAAAAGGACACTAATTTCTTGGAATCAGTATAAGTGTTATTCATATTTATATAAAATCAAATCTTAGAATACAAACTTAAGATTTTGTAACAGCCATGGCTGGGCCAGGCCAAAGCCAGGAGCCAGGAACTCCATCCTGCTCACTCCCATGGCTGGCAGGGGTCCAGGCACATGGGCCATCTTCTGCTGCCTTCTCAGGCACAATAGCAAGGAGCTGGATTGGAGGTAGAGCAGATGGAACTTGAACTGGCACTCTGATATGGGATGCCAGTCTCACAAGTGGTGGCTTATCCTGCTGCTCTAAAATGTTAGGGCTGAAAATTTAGCTTTTAAAATTATAACACTAAAAAATTAATAAAAATAGCTTAAATGAGTGTGGGAAAGGGGAAGAATCGAACACAGAATTAAAAATAACAGTAGTTACTCTGAGACAATCATATACATGCTCAAGCAATTTTAGACTAAATAGAAAAGTATAGATAGTTTTCACCTTCTGGATTCCTGGGAATGAGGGAAAATGATTTTTGTTTTGGATGACAAAGTCATCTTCCAAATACATCCTAAAAATGGAACAGTATCATTTCTACATTTATTCTTTAAAAATATTCAGTTATTTATTTTCATCTACTTGAAAGAGCAACAGAAAAAGAGGGGCAGGGGGAGGAAGAGAAAGGGAAGGAGAGAGAGAGAGGGGCAGGGGGCAAAGGAGGGATGGAAGGAGAGGGAGGGGAAGGGAGGGAGAGTAGGAGAGAGATCTTCCAAGTGTTGGTTCACTCCTCTAAATGCCTCCAACAGCCAAGTCTGGACCAGGCCACAGCTAAGAACCAGAAATTTCGTCCAGGTCTCCCACACGGGTGGCGGGGACCCAAGTACTTGGGCATCTTTTGCTGCCTCCCAGAATGCATTAGCAGAGGCTGGATCAGAAACACAGGGCTGTGACTCCAACTGACAGTATGATGTGGGATACGGGCATCTGAAGCCAAAGCTTGACCTGCTCTGCTTGAAATGAAACAGTGAATGTCTTTTGATTCTTTCAGAGCTTTAAGCATTTTTTCTAAGTAAAAATCAGAATTTTCTATAATGAATAACATATACTTAGTATAGAAAACATGGGAAATAGAAAAAAGTGTAGAAAGAAATGAATCACCATAATCCTACCATATGGATATAAAAACAATTAATATTCTGGCTTATGAGGGTGGTTGTTTGACTTGGCAGTCCAGACACCTGTGTCCCACATTAGAGTACCTGGGTTCAACACCCGGCTCTAGTATTAGATGCCTGCCGCCCACATGGAGGCCTGGATTGAGTTTCTGGCTACCAACTTTGAGATAGGTCAGCCTTTATAGCTGTAGACATTTGCAAAGTCTACCAGTGGACAAGTGCTCTCTACCTCTGTCTCTCTGCTATCAAGTAAGTCAGTAAAGCTTATTTCCTTCCAGTTCTTTTCTTTATGAATCTGTTTTACATATATATAAAGTATATAAAATACAAATCTATGACACATTTTATATGAGGCTATTACATTAAGTTTATTGAAAATGGAATAAAAGATGCTTATTTTGATAAAAATATAAAAAAAATTTACTTGTCTTTAAATATTTACTTATTTATTATGAAAGTCCGAGTTACAAAGAGGGAGGGACAGACAGACAAAGACAAAGACAAAGATCTTGCATCCACTGGTTCACTCTCCAGATGGTTGCAATGTCCAGAGCTGGGCCAGACCAAAGCCAGGAGCCAGGAGCCTCATCTGGGTCTCCCACGTAGGTGACAGGGGCACAAACACTTGGGCCATCCTCTGCTGCTTTTCCCAGGCCATCATCAGGGAGCTGGATCAAAAGTGGAGTATCGCGCACATGAACCAGAAAAGGCACCCATGTGGGATGCAGACATCACAGGCAGTGGCTTTACAGGCTAAGCCACAACACTGGCCCTTATTTATTTGAGACACAGAGAAAGAGCAAACAGAATTCCCATCCACTGTTTCACTGACTACATGCTTGAAACAGACCTGGAGTGGAGCCAAAGCCAAGAGCCAGGAACTCAATCCAGGTCTCCCATGTGGGTGACAGGAACCAAAGTACTCGGGCCATCACTAACTGCCCAGTATGCATGCATAGTTTTTAAAATAATCCACATTTTCCATTATTTTTGGAGGACCCCTCATATACAGTTTTCTATGCAGCTTTATTTATCTAGTACATATATTTTGAGCTTTAAAAAATTCTATGAAATGGCCAGCGCCACGGCTCACTAGGCCAATCCTCCACCTGCGGTGCCAGTACCCCAGGTTCTAGTCCTGGTTGGGGCACCGGATTCTGTCCCAGTTGTTCCTCTTCTAGTCCAGCTCTCTGCTATGGCCTGGGAAGGCAGTGGAGGATGGCCCAACTCATTGGGCCCTGCACCCGCATGGAAGACCAGGAGGAAGCACCTGGCTCCTGGCTTCCAATTGGCGCAGCGTGCCGGCCATGGCAGCCATTTGGGGGGTGAACCAATGGAAGGAAGACCTTTCTCTCTGTCTCTCTCTCTAACTCTGCCTATCAAAAAAAAAAAAAAAAAAATCCAGGCAATGTTTTTAAAGGCTACATAATAAACTTAAGGTTTAAGATTTAGATTTAGATGGCCATCTCTATCCTGCTGATACTTCCATGAATACCTTTAAGTATAAAGGATCACTTGTACAAAATCAATTGTTTGGAAAGATTATCAATAAGACTTGAACTAAAAATCAAGATGTGAATGGCTTTAAGGCTCTTGTAGTCATGTGACATTGAGGGGGATTTCTAATTAGAAAAACAGGATGGACATTTTATCAACAATAAAGGAAAATATCAGGTAAGAAAAGCCATGTACAACATGTTGGAGATTTTTAAACTTAAAATTTCCTCCCTAACACTATGATTTTTCCATGTTTAAAACTGTTACTTTCTTGTAAATATGGAAAGGAAAATAAGACTTTAAAAATATGTATGATATAACCTATCTATGTCTTTGTACATTTTTTAATTCCATAAAGATCTGAGTCATGAAAAAGTTGTATCTGAAAGCCATACTTTTAAATGCCTGTCTCAAAAATCAATGAAGTTCCATAAAAGCATAAAATATATAAACCTGTATTAATATCATGAATTTCTCTGAATTAAACAAATGTAAAACAAACAAATGTTTAAAGTGAACATGGTATTAATTTATCCTTAAGTTACTCAGGATTGTTCTTGAATTTGTATATTTTTCAGTCATGAAAATGATGCTAATTACTGAAACAGAGAATAATAGCTTCATTTTAAGCATTCCTGCCTAGTTAGCTCTGCTATCTGCTATTACAAAATTGGGGTTCATTAACTGTTACCTTTATAAAATGCTGTATGTTCTGAAGCCCTCAAAAACAAAACATTCAGAAACAGCGAAAGTAGTGTTACCCAATGACAATGTACAGCATACTTGGGTTCTGTACCAAGAAACTCTCAAGGCACAGAGGTTCGGAAGCTTCAATTACAAAGGGCTTTGCAACCCAGCTGAGGCCCTCTAGTGTCCAAAGGAGGATACAAAGTTAAGTCAGTTAAGGGGGTTAAGTTCCAGATCAAAAATGTTGGGCTTAATATTCCCAGGGTTACAAAAGAGGGTAAAAGTCTCTGTTCTCTGGATACCGGTCAGGCTCACGGTGTGCCTATCGAAGGAGAGACAGTCCTGGTCCCTGATTTTTCCTTCTGCATGTTTCTACGTTAACAAGACCTCAACATGCTTCTGTTCATGATACAGGGTTAAAAAGATATGTCCTGATTTGCAGGTTACAGATCTTCTTCGTCGTTTAGGGAGTATCTAAATTATCCACGATAAGTGATGTGGAAACATATACACAAAAAAGAAATATATAGAGATCTTGTTATTTATCAATAATATAAAAATGTTTAATCAACTTAAGTCTGCCATGGCCTTGAGATAATTTCCTATCATGACAAGGACCATACCGAGTTAAGAAGATGGAGCAAGGGAGCCAATGTTTAGATGCAGAAAAAGGTAATGGTAGAAAAAGCATGAGAACAGTGAGCAAGTACAGATGAGAAAAGACAAAGAGGGGGGAAAAAGTCTGAAATAGGCAGTAAGGGCAAGGAAGAACAGTTTTGTAAAGATTTTTGTCCTGATAAGGAATGATATGAGGAATCTGACTATGCAGACAATGCTGTTTCTTAAGGAGCTAAGAAGAGCATGAACTAGAAGAATAAACGGATGATCTTTAGCAGAGATTTCAATGCAGAACTTGAAGCAAAACTCAATGATATTCTACCACTGACATTTCATGTTTTTAGTGGTTCTCATACTTTACCCGAGGGGCTGATGTTAAAGCAGTTTACTGGGCCACGGCCCCAGTTTCTGATTCAGAGTTAAGCTCAAGAATTTGTTATCTCCAACAAGTTCTCAGGTGGTACTGATGCTGCTGGCCAGGGGACCATACTTTTTGAAACATTATGCTACACTGTATTCCTGAATTTCTGTACCTCAGGCCTGCCAGGGCCTTAGTCTCACAGATGAATTCTAGACTCCTAGAGAAAAAAAGGCCAACCACTTAACTGACTGCAAAACAACAGAAAAAAACCCTACCACTACTCATCATTTCTTTAGCTTTGCAGACAACTGAAGTGCTTAAACATGTGACTGGTAACATAGTATTATAAATTAATTACCTCAGAAACCTCATTTTTGCCATGACTTGCTGATTATGAAGTAATGAAAAACACTTTTTCTTAAAAGGTGAGAAGTAGGAGTAGAAAAAGAATGGCAAGTAAGCAAGCCAGGACAGGTGCATCACCACCTGTGAGGAACTAGGCTGCCTTCAAGATTAGAAAAAAGTTACCCATTTGATTAGCCAGTCTAATATGGCTTTAAGAATAGGTAACATCATCCACTTGCCACAAAGTAAGAATAATATGTACAAAAAGAGGTAATATATGATCCAAATAACTAAGTGTGATTAATAAAGAAAACTGAAAAAAGATATTCCAGGGGCCTGTGTTGTGATGCAGCAGGTTAAGGGACCACCACCTGCAATGCCAGCATCCCATATCAGAGCACTTGTTTGAATACCAGCTGCTGTGCTTCTAATCTAGCTCTATCCCCTGCCACTACCCACATGAGAGACCCGGATGGAGTTCCTGGCTCCTGGTTTCAGCCTGTTCCAGACCTGACTGTTGAGGTCATTTGGGGAGTAAACAGCAGATGGCAGGCTCCCCTCCCCCCTCCCCACACACTGTAGCACTGCTTTTCAAATAAATCTTTTATTAAAAAAATTTCAAAGTGTGACTTCGTTCATGTGAAATATTTAGAGGAACGATTTGAAGGGACTGTATACAAAAAGAAACCTTAAACAAGAGGTCAAATAGTTAAAGGTGGCAAAGAAATTATGTACAAAAAGACAACTAAACCACAATCTGGACTTAATCAGCACAGTAAGTCAAAAGACAGAAGACACAGGAACCAATACTGAAAAAAAGAGGCAGCAGGGGCAAGTATTTGGCCTAGCAGCTAAACCACCCGTTGGTTTATTCACGCTCCCTATCAGAACGATTGGGTTTGAGTCTTAGCTCCACATCCATTTCCAGATTCCTGCTAATCTGCAACCTGGGCAGCAGTAGGTGGTAGTTCAAGTAGCTGAGTCTCTGTCATCCATGTAGGAGATCTGGATTGAGTTTGGAGCCCCTGGCTGTTATGGGGAGTAAACCAGCAGACGGGCTCTCCGTCTCTCAAATTGAAAAACAAAGAGGGAGCCAAGAATGATAGGAGGTATGTACCAAGGGTGCTAAAGCAACTTGTGACTTACCTCAACAGGAAGCTGATTAAACTGTGTCACCAGGCCATCTGCAGCTGTAGCTACACCAATAAGTGCCATGACCTTTTCTGGACGCGCAATTGCAGCATGAAGCATAAGCCATCCACCGAGGCTAGATCCAACTAGTATCTAAAATAAAAGTATGAGGCTAGATTCATCTAGGATCTAAAATGAAAGTCTGAATAGTTTTAAAGAGGAATTCCTTTTTCTTGTCCATAAGGTGAATGAGCAATTTAATAGAAATGGAAGTGTTTTTTCTCATATTCATCTAGGTCCCAGATTTTTAATAATTGGCACCAAGTAGAATTAAACTGTAAGTTTTTGATAATTAGGGCTATTATGTAGGATAACTTACAAAAATAAAACTTGTACAAAGAAAATTAACTTACTACTTAATGCTACAAAGTGAATATTACAGAATATTTTAAAATCAGATAACAAAACTATTAAACATTTAAAATATTAAATAAGTTTTCATATCTAAAGAAAAAGCATAAACGTCATGAGATTTTAGTCAATAATTACCATATTTAACAAAAACAGTCACCTGTGGTCCTACAGCTAATTCATCAATTATAGAAAGAACATCTTTTCTCCATTTCCCCACTGTACATTCTTCTAAGTTACCATCTGAACTTCCAACTCCTGAGTAATCAAATCTGGAAAAAGAGAAAAGCATATTTGTATCTAAGTATCCATGGACCTATTTGATTTTTTTAGTTTTAAGAAAGCACACTCCTTATTATTATAGAGCTTAAAACAGTAAAACATCACAGTCAGCATCTACTTCAGCAAATCCTGCTGGGTTAACCTTCAGATATTTCCTGTATCAAATCCCGTTCTCATCTCCCCCACCGCTCCCAGCTTCACCCAGTCATTATCATCTCTCCTCCAAACTAATGCGATTATCTTTTAATAAGTTTTCTCATTCAAAATAATCCTTTTAAAACAAAAACCATGCTTACACAACCCTCTGAAGGCTTTCTATAATATACGTGTGTGTGTGTGTGTGTGTGTATAAAATTCAAGACGTATTTATTTGAAAGGCAGAGTTACAGAAAAGCAGAGGCAGAGAGAGAAAGAGAGGTCTTCCATCTCTGGTTCACTCCCCAGATGGCTGCAATGGCTGGAGCTGCACTGATCTGAAGCCAGGAGCCAGGAGCTTCTCCCAGGTTTCCCACATGGGAGTAGGGGCCCAAGGACTTGGGTCATCTTCAACTGCTTTCCCAGGCCAAAAGCAGAGAGCTGGATCAGAAGTGGAGCAGCCGGGACTCGAACTGGTACCCATATGGGATGCCAGCCCTGCAGACAGCAACTTAATCTGCTACACCACAGCACTGGCCCCTATATATTTTTTAAAGGTTATTTATTTATTTATTTGAGAGGTAGAATTATAGACAGAGAGAGGGAGAGACAGAGACAAAGGTCTTCCATCTGCTGGTTTATTTCCCAAATGGCTGAAATGGCAGAACTGGGCTGATCCAAAGCCAGGAGACAGGAGTTTCTTCCGGGTTTCCCTCTCCCACACAGATGCAGGGGCCCAAGGACTTGGGCCATCTTCTACTGCTTTCCCAGGCCATAGCAGAGAACTCGATTGGAAGAGGAGCATCCAGGACTAGAACTGGTGCCCATATGGGATACTGGCGCTGCAGGTGGAGGCTTAGCCCACTACACCCAGCACTGGTCTATAATATTTAATAATAGCCAAAGTTCTTAGTATGTACCAGTTAAGATGCCCGTATCCCACATAGGAAACCTGGTTTCCAGCTCCTGACTGTAAGTTCCTGCTAAAGCACCCCCTGGGAGGCACAGGTGATGGCTCAAGTAATTGGGTTCCCACCACTCGTGTGGGAGACCTGGGCTGAGTTCCTGGCTACCAGCTGTGGCCAGGAGTCGGGGGCATTTTGGGAGTGAACTGGCAGATGGGTACTTGACCTTTCTCTCTCTCTCTCAAAACAAAATGCCCAAGTCCTTACCATATCTTGATCCCTGACCTCCCCTCTGATCTCCTTTCCTACTTCTCTCCCTCCTTCTTATTGGATGCTCACTTTGCTTGTTGAAATTAGAGGAATACACCACACCTGCCTGCCTCATCAGCTTTCCCGTGTAGACGGACTACTCTCCCTCCAGATAACCACTCAGCTCCTCCCTCACTCCACTCAGGCCTTTGGCTCAAATACAACATCCCTGACGGGTCCATCTTCCAAACCGTGCGTTTCTCACCACTCTATTTCCTTACTCTGCCTTGCTTCCTTCATAGCACGGACTACTACAAAACACAGACGATATGTGCATGATGCACTTGAGGCCTGTCTCGCCCACTAGAATGGAGGCTCCACGTGGGCAGAGTTTGCTTTGTTCACCACTGCTTTCCCATTGACTCCTTCAGTACATTGCAAGTGGTAGTGCTGAAGGAAAGGCAGACAGAATTAAATTCACCATCATCGACCCTCCTGCTTCTCCTTCCAAGTTCCTGGTTATCCAAGCTCCAAGTCTGTGTCACGTGTGTATTTTACCTCTCCTTCAAAGTTCCAACCCAATAAATCATCAAGTATCATGCCAACATAATACACCTGGTCACAGGCAACTATTCCCAATTCTCATGACAACTGAGCAAACTTCGCATGCTCTTCCATTACCTGGCATGTCTTCTTCCTTTTCCTTCTAAACCCCTGGTCAGCCTTTTTGGGCATGTACTTCCTTTGAGGAACTTTCCTTGACATATATCCCCATTTAGAACCACTTGTATGCACTCAGTTATCACTTTTTCATATTTTGTTTTTTTTTTTTTATTTTTTTTTTTTATTTTTTGACAGGCAGAGTGGACAGTGAGAGAGAGAGACAGAGAGAAAGGTCTTCCTTTGCCGTTGGTTCACCCTCCAATGGCCGCCGCGCTGATCCGATGGCAGGAGCCAGGAGCCAGGTGCTTTTCCTGGTCTCCCATGGGGTGCAGGGCCCAAGCACCTGGGCCATCCTCCACTGCACTCCCTGGCCACAGCAGAGGGCTGGCCTGGAAGAGGGGCAACCGGGACAGAATCCGGCGCCCCGACCGGGACTAGAACCCGGTGTGCCGGCGCCGCTAGGCGGAGGATTAGCCTAGTGAGCCGCGGCGCCGGCCTCATATTTTGTTTTGTAATCAAGTTTTAAATATTTGTCTCCCTGTGACCAGCATGTCAGTCCACCAAGCATAGACTGTTTTATTGAAGTTTGTTTTTCCAGGCTATGGAACACTGCCTGCCCTATACCATCATCCCTCATCCTCCTTTCTTCGCACACTTTTTTTTTTTTTTTTTTTTTAAGGAAAAGGGTTTATTGGGGGAAACCCGACAGAAGGGAGGAAAGGGGCAAAGAGGGAGGAGAGCATAAGAGAGAGATTAAGAGACAGACAGAGTCAGAGAGAGATCTGGAGAGCCATGTGTTCAGGAACAGGTCCTCTTAAACCTCTGGGGTGGGGGGAGGGCGGGCAGGGAAGTGGGAGCAGCCACATTCATTCCTTTCTTTGTGAGATCTTTGGTGGTTTCTGTTATCTTAAATGCAAACTATCACAGTAGTCTTCTAAATGTGTCTCTATCACTCCATGTCCAAGAAGATCTGCTTTATACCAGTTAGGCTTTTTCTTACACATTATATTGGCAGAACATTACCTTTAAGGGCTCCCTATGATGAACAACAGAAAAATGTAATGCTCTGGCCTGTTTTTTAAGATCACTATATTCTGGTCATCTCAGATTGATCTTTTGTTAACTCATCAGAAAGAACTGGTTTAGCCAAACTGGTCAACTTGCTATTCCTAAAACAGGCCCTACAAATGTTTCTGTTTCACACCCTACGATGTTACTTCCTGAATCCCTTCTCCCACCACCTTCTTTACTAATATCCTCTCAGAACTCAGTGCAAATGAAGGGCTCTGGAGGAAAGCTTCCTCAGACAGGTGGCAACACAAACAAGAGTTTCCCATATGAAACGTCCATAAATCTTATTTTTATCAGTCACAGGTAATTTATATCCTGTCCTCAGACAGACAGAAAGGGCAGCCGGGAAAGAACACCCACACACACTCCCATGGATTATTAGTGAAGCTTCTAAAAATTTAAATGGATTTTTAGGCTGTTAGTGCTGGAAAATAACTCAAAAACTATCTTTAGTCCAAACTCCCTTCCCCCTCCTGATGACAAAATTAGGCCTAGTGTTTATGAACTGACTTGTCATGGTTACTGCTGCAATTCATTCTGGAACCCATGTTTCTTGAATTGCAGGTCAATGCTCTTTCTACTGAATGACACTCTCCCGTCAAATAAAAGGCTAGTACAGATAAACCTCTTAACAAAGGAAGCAAGCTATTTTACTGAAATAATTGTGGGTATGAAAAATTAGGAGCTATAAAATTAAGCTTCAGATAAACATCACCTTTTCCTATTTATGCTCATACATACTCAAAGTATAGGAGTGAAGGAGAAAACCCAGTTGGAACATAAATTATACAATACTTTTAAACACATATGTTACATTTAAATATGCATTCTGGAAGTAAAATAATAAACAGTGGCCAACGAAATCTTTAAGTTGTCAATGGAAAAATCACAGTATCATTTTAAGAGATTGCAAAACAGCCAACTAGGATTATGTATTTGTTGTGACAGAGATTACTGCATCTAAAGAACTTACCACTAATTCCCTTCAGATGTCCTTTCCTGCTAAGTATTGTCAGTGAGGTACAGACAGTAAAAAAAGGTCTCTTAAAAGTCGATTTTTCCATGACCCTAAATTGTAAAATGAAAGTTTACAAGCCATTAAAATAATCTATAAAAATGATGGCATTTACTTCAGTTGGTTAGAGCAGAAGTAATTCTCCACTGCCATGCTAAATGGTAGCAATATTTTCTCTGAAATGTGTTGTTCCTACCTTATATAGGCGTGACCTAGAGATTTGCAAAACTCCTCAATTGCCAATGCTTTTGTACCATTCATATTAGAAAGATAGCCAGGGATGAAGATAATTCCCGGACTTTTGCCTTTTAGCCGCTTATAAGCCAGTTTTGGAAGGTCTGGTCGCTTAAGGAAAGAAACTGATGTCTTTGGTCTGCAAGCTAAACAAAGTACACAAAAACATAAACTGTAGTTTACAATCCTCTATATTTTCAATCTTAAACTCTGAACTGATGTTAAAAACCATTTCTATTTAATAGGAAAAACAAAAAAGACTCAAAGTTACCAAGTCAAGTCTGTGCATGACAACTTTTAAAACTGTGTCAAAACCAGTACCTTCTTTGAGCAAAGTCCAATCCTGATTCTTCCAAAATACACAAAGAGGCAGAAATTTCAAGGCAACAAGATAGACTTTTACAAAACTTTTTTCTTATTGCTGCTATGTCCTAAGCAGTCACTAGACTTACCTACCCTAGTTTCAGCCCTCTTTCATGAGGCTTTTGTCTTCTTCTTTTTTAAATTATCTTTTTTTTTTTTTTTTAATATTTGAGGAGTTATCACAGGCTTTACTTTTTTGGGAAATGGCGGGGAGAAACAGGTTTGCTGCCTTTGGGAAACTACTTCAAAGGGTAGTTGCAATGCCCCTTTTCTGACTGACTGTTCCAGTGTACAGTCAAATATGCCAAATTTTGAGGGGTCAGCATCCTGTATTAGCAAAAATGCATTCAGTTTTCATTTTCTTAGTTAAGTTTCTATCCTCTTCTTTATCACCTCCCCAAAGAGGAAATTTCCCCAAGACAATTAAAATTTATTTAATGTTGAAAAGTTAAAAGGGAACAGATTTTTGACATTATATCCATAAACCACCTCTGTACCATAAGAATTAGCCGAAAGCCTGGAGCGAATATTTGCTAAATACATAAACGAATATTATACTGTTGTTAACCAACTTAAGAACCATACTTCCCTAGTAGTACTTAATACATAACATGCACTTTTGGTTTTGTACAATTAATTGTAACAAACTGATTACATAAAATATTTTTTAAACAAAACTTTAAAGTAACTTAAAAAAAAGTCTCTAATGGCAAAGGTGCGTGGCAAAAGTGTAAATACACACAAAGCCTAAAAACAGAAGTAATTAAAAGGTAGACTATACGAGTATATAGGTCCATATTGGTCCATAGTCTAGTTTCCGTTGCAGAGTAATGCTGATGGCAGCATCAAGAAGGTCAAACTAGAAATTGGGCTCAAGAAGAGCGCCTACCTACGCTTTCATCAAGTCAAGGGAGAGCAGGTCTATGCATTTTAACAAAGTCACAACCTGTAAACCACTCGAAGCCACCAATCATCTACTGCAGTAAATGCCCAACTTAATTTCTCTTGGTGTTGGCATTCAATGCAGGGAGGCAGGGAGAGCAGGAACTCCTTAACCCGCAGGGCGTGAAAGGCCGGTAAGGGCCGAGACAGGACGAATGCCCAGGACTGTACAAAGCACCCGGAATTGGGGTGCTCAGAGAGGGGAACAGCACTTTTGAAAGGGGCGCCAAAAGCGCACTGTGCAAACCCGTGTGTTCGAAAAAACGCATCCTATTCCCACCTTTCGGACTAACCTGGGAGCCACCGTGGCACCTGCTGGGGCTTCCGTGCAAGTAATGGACTGAAGTCACGCTGGGGACCTAAGGAGACGGCTGCCCAGCTCCAGCTCCGACGTGGCACCCAAGCCGCCACGGCCGCAAGGCCGACACCCGCCATCTTCCCAGCGGTCCCCGCGCCCCACACCGTCCGCCGCGCAAGACGGCTCGGAACCGAAAGTGCGCATGCGCCGCGGGCTGGAAGGCGGAACTAGTTCAAAAGCGGCCCGCCGGTTTCCCATGGCGGAGGGTGTGTCTGCCTAGAGCGGCGCTCTTGCTGCCTCGGGTTCTAGGCGTTTTCGCAAGGGCTGGTTTGGAATGTTTTGAGTGGCCTCGGGAGTCGGCCTTCTCAGCCGACTGGTAGATATTCCAGAACTTGAATTTCACGGAGGAACGCGCCCTGACGTTCTGACTAAAGTAAACATTCCGAGGACTCCAGGGAGCCCACACGCGAAATGCTAGGCTTGTGGCATCGCAAAGTCCTTGCGACCCCTGACAGCTTCAACCTGTACCGACCATACTCTCGGTGTGGTGTGCAGCTGCCTGGCGTGGAGTCGGACCTTTGCCGCTTCCTCATCATTTTTCAGTGTTTTGCTTCATTTCTAGTTCTAGTTCTTGACGTTCCTGACCTCTGCCTCATACCATGTGCAAAAATAAATGCCAGCAGATAAATGGTCTAGAGGACGAATAAAACTGAGAGGAGTAAGCAAGCTTTGGGAGAGTATTGTATAGTCCCAGAAAAGAAAGGACTTAACAATTGAAAACCACAAGTCATAACACATTTAATGGTATATAAATTCAGGTTTTTTTTCAAACGTAAAAGATAACTTGTCAAATAAGAGGCTGGAAAAAGTTTGCAGCATAGATACGTTACTACTTCTATTGAGTCTGCTTCTGGAATTCAAAATAAATCTTGGAAATAAAAAATATGTAATTCCAATAAATAGGCCAACAACTGAATAGGAAGTTTATGTAAGTAACTATGTACAACCTCACTCACTGAAAACTATGAATTACAAAAATACATGCCATTTTTTCCACCTAAGAGACTGGCAAAAATGAAAAGCAATTATTTGCAAAGATGCTAGAAACCGGCACTTAGTGTGGTTGCAGAGAGTAAGTTGATAAAATTTTTTGTCAGTCTGGCCACATCTGTTTCAATTTAAAATATGTGTCACTTTCAAGTCCCTTCCACCCAGGACCTTCCTCCCCATGACTGACTACTTTTATAGGGGAGAAAAAAGGCACGAGTTTATAAGGATTCATATTAACCACTACACCACTTTTAGAGGGAAGCAGGATTTAAAAAACTGAATGGACAATAGAAAGATAATGGAATAAATTACACTACCAGGGCTTTGGGACTACAGCTCTGAATAGCCTTCCAAGGTCTTGGGGCCTCAAGCATCAACCAGTCCAAGCCTTATGTGGTATCTTTCTGCTTAAGTTATGATGGTTGGTGAACTACCTTGAGTAAAACAATTTTACACCCCGGTTGTAAATTGTGGAGCAAAGGCTGATGCAAATTTTAAAGTCAAAGTTTGGGTATAATGAATTCAGGTGTCAATGGAGTTTTGAGAATCTGCCCTATTGGAACATGATAGAAAAGTTGGACAAATTCAGACTAAACAGGTCTCTTTCTTGAGAGGTGTAGCGCCTCTCCAATAGTAAAGGCAGCCGCTTGATTTCAGCACATACTCCAAAAGATGCTGAGTCATTTTGCCAGTTCTCCATTAAGCCTGTGACAGGTTACAAAGGCACGAAATCACAAGGGCAATGCCTCACCACCCCTTACATCTTAACAACAAACACTTCTCCCTGAAGTCTCCAGATAATTGTAAATATTATCTCAATCACTCCTTCCTCTTCATTTTGGTAGGTCTTTTGCATTTTATGTGCAACAAAATGAAAAGTCTGGACCTGTCAGTACAGTGGGAGAAAGCACTGCACAAAAGAGCAGGGAAAATCATGGGCATTTTCTCTGTCCATCTTATCAATCCAATAAAGCAGAAAAAAATCTATGGCTAATGGTAAGTGAACATACTTGTACTTCAATTAGCTGCAAGTAAAAACAAATCTGTTTCCGATCTGGGCGCCTACTGTCAATGTTGCCTTCCTTAATATACAGAGAGGTAAAGAGAGGCAGAGAAGGCAGTCTCTCTGAAATCTGCTTAGTTCAAGGGGACAAAAGAAGTTCCTACCATTAAAGCCCCAGAGCTTCACTTCACATTTGCATGGTTTTTTTGCACTGTCAGACAGACGGATAAGCAAACAATCCTTGGGATGTAATAACCGCATGCATGCAAAAAAGATAACAACGCAAGATTTTTTTTTCAGAATCTCTCTCATTTTGTAGCAATAGAAATGTGACCAAAGGCACTTCTAATTACTTCGGTTTATAAATTACAAATCATAATGTTAGCACATAACAACCTTTAGTGGATTCTACAACTAACTTTGGCTGATTAATGCATTCTCCATCATGTTATAGTCAGGTAACTTCCAAATGAAAGAGTTTATTTTCAAATGTGGAATCAGGTCAACATTTTAATCCAAACGCAATATATTTAACACACATACTTAGAAGGTTGACTACATCATGCAAGCTGATTAGGCTACTTTTACAACCCTATGAAGAAAATACAGTACAAGAAAGTTTTATCTTTACATTACCAAAAATCTTAGAAATTACATTTCATTCTTTTAGACCATTACAGAGTTTAAGGGTGATCTCTACAAAATTAGATTTTTAAAAATGTCTTTAAAAATCATGATTTTTGTCCATTATTGTTCAAGTAAAACCTTGTATCATCCAGTTGAAAAATCTTATTATTGGTAACATGTACATATGTATACGAACTACACTGCAAATTTTAAAAATGTACCCAAATTAGGTCTGAAAAAGTTTTATAGACACTTCTAATCCTATCATTTCATCTTGTGCTAGTAAGTGATATCATCATTTTCTACTTCTATTCATTTATCTAAGAAAGAATACATTCATACTTAAAACGCACAGAACATGAAAAACTAAAATAAATGCATTTGAAAAACCATTTATAAACAGACTTGCCTGAAGTCATTTCATTCAACAAAAATTAATTTAACTCTAAAAAACAAAGGCAAATTGTAAAGAAACACATAATAAAAATAGTACATTTCAGACAATATGAAGTTGAATTTCATTTGCCTTTCTATAGAACTATACCACTTCTACAAATAAGTATTTTAATTGGTCTGTTCTTTGGTGAAAATGGAGCTATGATATTATAATATGTCATGTGACAGTGCAATTAGCTAGTGTGCTCCATAACAAAGAGAAATCAGACAACTGAAATGAACTACAGGATGCCTTTATTCTCAGCACCCAGAATGGAGTAATCGTTAGCAAAACAAGCTCCTGACTCCTAATTGCCCAATGTAACAAAATGTCTGCTACCGAAGATGGCTTTTCTGAAACGCACAGCTTTTGTTTCTTTTTTACATGAAGTAGTTTTAGATATATATAGTAGCTTAAGCTGTGGTCACACTGCAAAGTCAATTTCCTGGGCATTTGGTGGCATTATACAGAATAAGACTAAATGCAGTTTAGTTTGAAACTACAACTGATAAACAGAATTCATGCCAAGTCTTTGGTTTTGGTGTAGGACTTTAAAAAAAAGGGCAAAATTCCCCAAACATATTCCTCTCCAAGCCCTTATTTGCTTATTTTTATAAAATGTTACTTAATAAAAAAGCCTGTTGATTACCAATAATGTCAATGCCAATTATTTGGATACCCTAATAATTCCATATTTCCAAGTACACATATACAGACATTTTGTAAACTGTTTATCCCACCAAAACCAACAGCTGATTTAAAAAAAATAGTTTGTAAGAAAGTTTCCTTTAAGTGATACTATTTATCAAAATAGTGTTTCTCATAGGAGCTTCAATTCTTTTGCTATTCATGATTAAGCTTTGAATTAAAACCCCTTTTCCTTTAAAAAAATGACTTCTCGTTAATATGAAAGGAACTCTGAGTGTATACAGTTAAAGGGATGGGTCTGTTGGGTTTCTCTGAGTGTGTACAAGTTAAAAGGATGAGTCTGTTGGGTCTTTCCATCTGGGATTGAATATGGCTTCATTCTTGTAAGAGATTATTGCAGTGTGCCCTGAACTGGATTCTTCCTCTGCTCACTATAACAAGAAGTGAGTGTAACCTTCTGCCCCAGTAACTATAACATCCATCCAGATCCGCATAGCTTCTGGTGATGGGGCCACCATATAGTAGATTCTGTCATGTGTCTTGACGCTGAAGGTAAGTAATGGATTGGGACTCTAAAATTCAAAAAAAGAAAAGAAAGTAAAACAAATACCCTGAAATTAAAGCATTAAATAACAAAAATATATGGGAAAGTTTCTTTCTCTTTAAGCCTTCTGATTTATAAAAGTTTATGTAGGTATTACTTTGGCTCCACTATAGCATGTAACCCCTTCCTCAGAACTGACCACCTTTCTGGATTTTATGCGCAAAAAAATCTCACACAGAGCTCACAACTCTCTTAGTGGCTAGTCTGTTAAGCTGTAGCAGGGTACCTATCTGATAGTAGGTGCTTAATAAATAGTAGCTATTATTCTTAGCTCTCCTAAGGTCCTAAGTTAAGATTCTCCTCATAACTGCACAGTAGCTCCATTTTAGAGTCCTAACAAAGTCACTTTACAGGGTCTCTAAAACCAGTATGTTTAAAGCATTTGTTGCTCCCCCATTCGCGGAGGAATGACACAAGACCCTGCGCTGTTATTTTGTCTGCTCGGCCCTTCCCGGGTTTGCTGCTGGTCCTTCCCGGGTTGGCTGCCGATCCCTCCACCTCCGTGGAGGGGCGGCTCCCCCTGCCACTTTCCCCACTTCCGCAGGGGAGCGGCACACGGCCGGCCAGCTCTCTCGGGGGCTGCTCAGATGTTATCCGGATGTTCCCCTTAGATGTTCCTGGTGCATGTTGTCTCTCTCCTCCTTTATAGTCCTCTTCCACCAATCCCAACTCTGCTGCCCACACGCCGAGCATGCTGCTCTCCTCCAATCAGGAGCAGGATCAGCTCCTGCAGCTCATCAAATTGGCGAGAGGCAGCTGTGTAGAAGTTGTTTGGTCTCTCTCTCAGCGCCATATTGTGGGAGAGCAGATGCATAGAATAAGTCTTAATTCCAGTAACTTAGTCTAGTCCGAGTTGCTCCCCAGAGCATTTCCTTACTTTGTCATAACTTTTCTTCCTCAAAAAGATTCCTATTCATTTCGATTTCTCTAGCACCATTCTGATCTTAACTACCCATTATCCCAACAACAAATCCAAATGGCTTTGAATCCAAAAATGTCCTTTTCCCAACTAAAATTTACATTAAGAGTTAGAAATTTGGAAAATTGATGTTTACCTTATTAGCATTCTTAAGGTGGTCATAATACACTTCTTCAATGGCTTGAAAGTATATTACTCCTTTTAATTTAGCTTCATGTTTATCTGCAAAGATAGATGAGTAGATGAGTATAAAAATACTTTATTACTATTGATTGACAGGAAAAACTAATTTCATTATAACTGTCATTATTAGGGGTGGGCAGGCAGAGTTAAGATGCCACTTGAGACATCTGCATCACATATCAGAGTGCCTGGGTTTGAGTCCTGACTCAGCTCCCTACTAATGCATACCGGGGAGGTAGTACATGGTAGCTAAAGTGGTTGGGTCCCTGTTGCCCAAATAGGAAGCTCGGACTGTTTCTGGCTCCTGGCTTGGTCCTGTCTCATGCTTAGCTGTTAGTAAGAATCTGGGGAGTGAACTAGTAGATGAGCAATCTCTCTCTCTCTCTCTGTCTTTATATCTTTGCCTTTCAAAGGAATAAAATAATAATTTTCATCACTGAAACATTTGTATTAAGTGATTTAAAATTAGTGATTAAGATAATTTGAATTAATGCATTAGCACATTCTATATTAAAAGACAAAACAAAAATCAGATCACCAGCTCCAAAGCAAGCTAAACTGTGTCCAAGGCTCATCAGCAAATCAGTAGGCAAAAGGTAGTCCAGAATGACTGTCAGTTTAGCACACGAAGTGTACACACTATTGACATCATACAAATTATTCCTCATGTTCTCCAAGGCTATCTTGGAAATGGAAACATTAATATTTAGCTCTGTTATAATTATTTTTAATAAATATTTATTTATTTGAAAGTCAGAGTTACACATAGAGACAGACAGAGAGGTCTTCCATCTGCTGGTTCACTTCCCAGATGGCCACCAATGGCCAAGGCTGGGCCAGGCCAAAGCCAGGAGCCAGGAACTTCCGGGTCTCCCATGTGGGTGCAGGGGCCCAAATAGTTGGGGCATCCTCTGCTGCTTTCCCAAGCACATCAGCAGGGAGCTGGATCAGAAGTGGCAAAGCTGGGACTCAAACCAGTGCCTATATGGGATGCTGGCATTTCAGGAGGTAGCTTAACCTATGCCACAATGCTGGCTCCATAATAATTTTTTAAAGTTTCTATTTACTTATTTATTTACTGGAGAGGTTGATGGAGAGTGGGCTTTTTTTTTTTAACTTTTAATTTAAATAGTATTCTGTGTTCCTTTTCTATCAGACTTTTCCAGCAGACTTGATTTTTCCCTGTTTTCAACAGAGCTTCATGCCAATAATTTGCTATCCTTTCAATAAAACATTTTCTAAAGTGTCTCCAAAGACTTCATCAGGTTTATTATAAAAATAAAATATAAAACAGATAAAAACAAGAAATACATCAACCAAATAGCACCACTCTATGATCTAATAAGTTCTTGAAGTGTTTCACTATTTAAACTCTGCGAGGAGTGGGACCAGTATTGTGGTGCTGTAGGTTAAGCTGTCACTTGTGAAGCTGATAGCCCATCTTGGAGTACTGGTTCGAGTCACAGTTCCTCAGTTTCTGATCCAGCATCCCGTTATAATGTGCCCAGGGAAGACAGTGGAAGATGGCTCAGGTATTTGAGCCTCTGCCACCCACGTGAGAGACCAGAGTGCAGCTCCTGCCTCCTGGCTTTGGCCTGACCCAGCCTCAGCTGTTGTGTCCATTTGGGGAGAGAAACAGCAGACTGAAAATATCTCTCTGTCTCTCTCCTCCCACCATGTCATTCTGCCTTTCAAAACCAACTCATCAATAAGTCTTTAAACTCTGCAGAGATCATAATGTATGTGAGAGTACTAAAGAATTTTCTTTTTTTTTGACAGGCAGAGTGGACAGTGAGAGAGAGAGACAGAGAGAAAGGTCTTCCTTTTGCCGTTGGTTCACCCTCCAATGGCCGCCGCGGCCGGCGCGCTGCGGCCGGCGCGCTGCAGCCGGCACACCGTGCTGATCTGAAGGCAGGAGCCAGGTACTTATCCCGGTCTCCCATGGGGTGCAGGGCCCAAGCACCTGGGCCATCCTCCACTGCACTCCCGGGCCACAGCAGAGAGCTAGCCTGGAAGAGGGGCAACCGGGACAGAATCTGGCGCCCTGACCAGGACTAGAACCCGGTGTGCCGGCGCCGCAAGGCGGAGGATTAGCCTAGTGAGCCGCGGTGCTGGCCTAGTACTAAAGAATTTTAAAAATGTGGATTAAAATGCTGGGAGACAATCAAACTCTGTTGATGTACATGCAAATAAAACAGCCCCTTTAGAAATGCAACTGGTAAAACACATACAATTAAAAATGTAAAAGTCCTCTTGGCAACTTCTTCTAAAATTGTATTGCATAAAGATCTACTCCAGCTTGTGCAGATGCACACACGTTATGGCACAAGGCTGCAGAAGATCTGCTTGAGTTAAACAAAGGACTGATTTAATTACAGGCCAGTCATAAGTGGAATTTCCACCTCCACTGAAAGGACTGAGGTAGATCCGTATATGCTTATAAGAAAAACATCTTGAACTATGATTATTATGTGAAATACAGTATGAACAGAGGGATAATTTGGTCTCAACTGTGTAAAAGGAAAATACTGAAATAGGTATAAAATGAAGATAAGTCTGAAAACATATTTCAGGCTTAACAGTGGGTGGTCAGAACTTTTGTGATGTAAAAAAGACTTTCATTAAACCACCTTTTTATATTTTGAATTTCTTGCTGAGTAAATGTCCCTTTTTCCTAAGAACAGCGATCAAAAAATCCTGTGAAAACATAATGGCCCTGAGAGAAACAGAAAACACTCCTATCTGATTACATTCACGGCAGCATTTCCCTAACTTATTTGAAAGTGGCCATAGCTTTGCGTTTTTTGTTCTTCTGTGGGAGGCACTCTTTTCATTTATACCACGTTGAGTGGGTTTCAACCTGTTTCTGTGAAAAAGAAGGATTGTGTATCTCTCAAACACTTGCTAGAATAATTGCCGGAATGATTCATAGGAATACAATGCTTCAGGTTTTGAAAACAGATGTAAAATAAAATGTGAAGATAAGAGTAAATTATGTTAGTATTTCAAGTAGGCAGAAAAACAGACTTCTGTTTGCAGGGAACTTCATGTGAGAAAGAACTCTGAGAATGATGAGCTTTCCAACCACGTGGTGGGCTAAGAGAATCGATGGTGTTGCAAGCAGATGAGAGAATGCCATTCATTCTGTCTCCCTCAGGAGCACTGGCCCATCAATTCCCAGACCTGTTTTCTATGCCTCTGTTTTCTTCAGCGACTCTCCTACTACTGCTCCTAGTTAGTATGTAGGGGCCCACGGAGAGAGCCCAGGATTAGAGGACTGGGACTGTGCACTTTGGCACTCAAGTGTGTGACTCCCTCATACCTGCAGGGCCATCTACTTGACAGACAAACTGAAGGGGTGTGGCTCCCGTAGGATCAAGCCCAGCCTGCACTGCAGCCTGGGGCCTGTGCTTATTGGTGTTTGAAAAAGGGATAAGGGTAGTAGGGAGTGACGGAATCCAGGTACTGCAATACGGGATGCCAGGCTAGACACCTGCTACCCAGCCACTGACTTCTGTAATGACTGACACCCACTCTAACGGCTCCTTATTGAAAGTCATGTATCCCACCTTCCTCACTCCGATTCTGGAGTCCCCTGGCCAGTGTTTCCTTTCTTCCACAGATTCCTTGGTTTTTCACACCTATCCTCATAACCTGATCTCACCTCATGGATTAAATAAGCGCCCTTTAGTTTACACATATTACCCTGATACCGTTCATTACAGTGATACAGATTCCTGTGGATGCTCATGAGTGTCAAGACAGGGTGTTTTTATAGCACCTAGTACAGAACTACTTTCTCTTAGCAGCTAAAAGCAGAGTACAGCTGCTGCCCTGTGCTAATAATGCACATATCTGATATGACCCAAGAGCAAACAGAAGGCTTCTTAATAAGCATACTAGGTTACACTCATTCCGGTACTTAAATAGAGTATGTTTTTCATAATCCACCATTTAAAAAACCCCAAAATATTTCAGTCACTTAATATAAAGATACTTCAAAAATCTGTGGAAAATGAAATTGAAAAATGGTTATGGGGTGGGTGTTTGATGCAGGAAAATGGAGTGGAAAAATAATGATCTCATTGTAATTATTATCACTGGGGTGGGCATTTGGCATAGCAATTAAGACACTACTTGGGATACCTGCATCCTGTATAGATATGCCTGGGTTTCATCCTCAGCTCTGTTCCCCTTTTCAGCTTCCTGCTAATGCTCACTCTGGGAAGCAGCAGGTGACAGCCCAAGTACTTGGGTCTCTGTCACTCACATGGGAGACCCAGGCTGAGTTCCTGGCTCCTAGCTTTGGCCTAGCCCAATCCTGGTTCTTGCAGATAACTGGGAAGCCAACCAATGTATCTCGCTTTCTTTTTCTCTGTGTATGTATCTTTGCCTTTCAAGTAAAATGCAAATAAATTTTTAAATTTTTAAATGTTTATTTTTGGGGCAAAATATTCTAAAATCCATGCATAATATTTCCATGAATTTTTTAAAACTCTGCATGGATTTCAAAATTTTTGCACTAAAATAAACTTAATTCCATTTTCTCCTGGAATTTTTGAATACCCTTTTACTTACTTACAGAGTAGTTTATTGGTGAGTTTTACTCTCTGTGTTTAAAAGTCCACTCTAATTTATAAGCTACAGTTGAGTATTTTTCAAATAGGGCTACCTCACTGTGTATGACTTAAAAAGAACAAACAGCAATAATTCATCAATGGCAAACCCCCTACAAAGGGCAATATTCTGATCTAAAAAATAAGTTCCATTTAATATTTATTAGAACTTGGATTTATTTCAGAACCATAATAAACTAATTCACACTTTAAAAGCTAAAACATAAGGTTTAGTATTTCTGGAAAGGAAATTCGTATCACATGGACTATACAATCTGAATATAAAGAATGTACAAGCTCAGAGCTAACATTGCCATTAATGTCTCTTAACTGCATTTCAATTGCTTTTGCTCCTGAGCAGGGGCTTCCTGATTTGAAAACATCCCTCAAATTTTTTGTCACCCACCTGCATAGTAAGAGAATGTTCGCTTGTTTCGGTCAAAAACAAACCAGCGTTTTTTCCAGGTTTTAATTTTCCCACCCATCTTGATGAGGAATCCTCGGCAGGTTTTCTCTGTGATGGACACATGGTAACAGGTGTCAATATTGTGGCCAGCAGTCTCCACGTGGCTCCGCAAATCAAAGTCTTCCTTCCGGACAGGCAGATAACGTGTCAGAGGACGAGCCTGGAAGAATGCAAAAACCAATTACATCTCTAAGGAAATATTTGCTTGGTTTTAGGTCACAGAGATTTAGAAATGAGAACTGTCTGGGAAGCTGAAGCTTTACAACGCCTGGTAACTATGAGAGCTGAAGACAAACAAAGCAGTTATCATTTGTTGTCTAAAAAGAGAATGCTGCAATATGGGGGTGGGGTGGACGCACCCAGGCCAGGAGACTGTATTCCTTGAGATGGGCAGATGAAAGAATGGAAAAATGTCAGTTATCTCTGCCTAAACAAGCCCAGGGAAACGGAGCATGAAGCTGACAGGGCTGTATGTACCCTGGGGATGAGGACTGCTCTCCTGGGAGGTGTCCAGCAGTCCCTGCCACAACATAGCATTGGTTCTCCTTAAGAAATCTCAGACTTGACACGAGAGGTTGAATGCTGTTTAGTACATACAACTTCCACAGGACCTCCCCCACCCTGCCAAAGGCATAGGTGTCTGCTACACAGGAACCACTCATAGCAGTTGGAGGCAGAGATGTGTGAAATTAAAGTGAGGAAGTGGGATGAAAGCTGGGCCTCACGGAAGAAGCCGTCCAGGGCCAGGCACCAAGGTGATGTATTTATTTTACTTTTACTCCTGGCTGGGGTAAGATACTTCCAATCTAAGAAGCATGCATCACCAAGGGCAGGATTTCTGAATGGCTGTCTTGTTAAATAACCCCGCCCCTTGGCCCGAGGCTGGGGAGGGGGAGGTGAGCAAGGGGAATGACCTAATCATATACTTGGAGCCAAAGCTTATAATCAGGATGAAAATAGAGTTGTACTTCTTGGTTTGGCTTCAGATACTACAAGGCATGGATGACCTTCACTGCGAATTAAAATTTGGCAGAGACTGCACATGATGAAATCACATGAACAAGTTTTACTTACTATTTTCCCTTCAATATTTTCCCTTTGATTTGTGGTACTTGGCTGTAGACAGATGCCAGAGGCTTCCTGATACCACAAAGCTCACAAAGCCTTAAAGATAGCCTCTAATCACTGACTGATGGCGCTCAGAAACTATGACAAATAATGGAAATGACACGTTTGCTTGTGAGTCTAGTAAACCTTGGTAAAACTGATTTGAGCCTTAAATTACACAGTACTTAACAAAACTCTTCTTTGTACTCTGAAAACACACATGATATAAGCAGCTATCATGATAAGAACAGAGATTTCAATTCTATAATGACCACTCAATTTGTTAACAATACTACCAAGAAACTGGACTGCTTTGGAATTTTTTTTCCAAAATATGGCTTAATAGAAACTCTTCCCTTCCTCAACCAAAAGTTTTAGTTTGAGTATTTTGTTTTATTTTAAAGATTTATTTATTTATTTGTTTGATAGGCAGAGTGATAGGGTGAGGCAGAGGGAGAGAGAGACACACACACACAGAGACAGAGAGACTTAGAGAGACAGAGAACTTTCACCTGCTGGTTCACTCCAAATGGTTGATGACCAGGGTTGGGCCACCCCGAAGCCAGGAACCTGGAGCTCCATCTTGGTCTCCCAAGTGAGTGGCAGGGGCCCAAGTACTTGTGTCATCTTCCACTGCATTAGCAGGGAGCTGGATCAAACGCAGAGCAGCTGGGACTTGAACCGGTGTTTATATGGGATGCCAGTGTCACAGGCTCAGCACCACCCCTTGCACCACAATGCCAGCAACTGGTTGTTTTATTTGTTTACAGCAGAAAAACCCAGCTGTAGTTTTCAAAGTTGTTAAAAAAAAAATGCTCTCCTTTAAAAAGTACTCCAAAGAATGAGTAGAAGAAAAAGAGCCTCTCCCACCAAAATGCTCCATGCATGCACGACTAGAGAAAAGTGATATTTTGTTTGTAGTTCTCTTAGCATTTTGAAAAAGACACTTTTTTTTGCACACTAGCACACATCTGTCTCTCAACTGTTACATGTCAGGTGCTAATACACAGTGCCCTAGAAGGCATTTTCAGACACAGAACGGTTGTCTTCTACAGAAGGACCACGAGGGGGCAACCTATTCTTATCCATTCGATCGGCCGACCAACCTGTGCTCTTTGTTTCTCTCTTATTTTCACTTCCTTCTCTATTAACTTCTGTCTCTGGCTGGTTTCTTCCTGCAGCCGTTTTTCCAGGAGTTCTCTGCGCCGTTTTTCTTCTTCCAGAGCTCGTTTTTTGGCTTCCATTTCCCGTTCCTAAATATCATTAAGATATACTGGTTATGCTTGAATGGTTCCAACTAACACCAAAAAGAAAATTCTCACTAAACAATTCTTAGGTTGCAATATATACAATCCCTTACAATATATACCTGGACAAAAACAACCCATCTTCACCTCTTAATTGCTTTCAAAATCGTCACATGCAGAAATGTAACCACTAAATGAAATTAACAATTAAATACTGGCTTTAAGTGGGAAAAATAATCCAGTTTGTGACTATATTCAGCCACTTCATATTAGGATCACATCCTTCATGTTTTAATAAAATTCCCCATATACTGTCACTCAACACTAGCCATGCTATTTAGCCATTCTTTTGACTGCTGTCTTCTAACTGAAGGCTATTGGTCCTTGCAATTCCTGTTGTTGCTCTGCAGCTTCCTGGCTGAAGGTCACAGAGGAAGCACATGGGGAAGCTGGGAAAGGAAAGGAGGTGCCCTGTAGGGCAGGATGCAAAGGCATTTTGGGGATTCCTAAGGAAGTCCAGATTCTGGCTTGAAATACAGTCACAATAATGTGGGATTTTTTTCATATTACAATGGTGCAGTTAGCACAGGCTGGGAAGGGAGGGCGAATGCACGGACACGACATCCCTCCCTGTACTCTGGCAGGGACACAAAGAGGCCGTCAAAGGGAAAATACAGTGCAAAGCATTCACTTCAGTCTGTCGGCACTAAGTATACAGTTCAAGTTACGGGGAGCTGTAGTGCAGTCCCCAGCCCTAACACCTTTACTTTCCAGGTAAGAAAATGAGGCTGTGAAACACTGAGTGACTACTCCAAGATCACACCACTTACTAAAGCTCTTTAAGGAGGAGAACTTTCTAAAACCAAATACAGGGCTCTGACATAAAGACAGTGAGCTTACCCGGGATTCAAGCAGCCTTGTTTTTTCTGCGTGAGCCTGCTTCAACAGTCTCTCCATTTCTTCTATTCTGGCAATATTTGAAGTGCTGGCACTGAAATCAATACAAAAGCCTTTTAAGAATATTGATACAGATTTTCAACATTTTCTATCAAACACACACGTGCATACACACACAGACAGGGCCAGGGAGGTGCATGACAAAATCCAAGCGTATAGAATGTAAAGGCTATTACTTATGAGTTACTGGTCTGCAGAGGCAAATCAGTTCAACCCCGAAAATTGTAGGTGACACTGACTTACTTGAGTTTAGGAGACAAAAACAGGCAAGTAAAATAGTGCCGATGTAAGCCATTTTACTCATAAGTAAGTCAAAACTTGATCTTACAAGGTGTGATTTCAAAATGCTTCCTCCAAAGTCTAAACATGATGGCCAGTGAGAGGTCTAACCATCAGTCTACTCATTGGGAGATGTCAGACCAACACAACTGTCACCAAGGTTCTACTTAAATGACACTTTGAGGAGGTTTTGATGGCAGTTGGAAGTGGCTTTATTCCACTGGGAATATGTACCACTGTTGCTTTTTTGTTGTGCCTTTGTACATGAAAGTGTTTTATTTCCTGAGTGATGATGCCAATTAAGAATGATGTTAATAGGTGCAATGGATGGGTGCTGGTCAATTTTGTGAAGAGTCTCCACCCAGCACACCAATATGGACACTGTACAAAGTGAGTTAAGAGCTTCAAAACAAATGTGAGAGCCATTGCCCACACGAATGAAAGGAGAAACCCCAGGGCATGAAATCTGCAAGAACAGTTAGGATAACCAAAAGAGAAACAGAAGAGTTTGGAAATGTTTAACATAAAACAGAAAAGTTTATTTTTTACTTGTTTACATTTTATTTGACTATTCTAAAAAAGAGGCACTATGGCCTAGGTCAAAGCTTATTTACTCTGATGTTTCAGTCTTGTAGAACCAATGGTATTTCTTATGCATGTGTATCATGGTTTACTCCCCAAACAGCCCACCACAGCTGAGGCTGGGGCCAAACTGAAGCCAGGAGTCAGGAATTTCATCTAGGTCTCCTATGTGAGTAGCAGGGGACCCCAGAATTGAGCCATTATTTGCTGCCTTCCAGGGTGCACAGTAACAGGAAGTTGGATTGGAAGTAGAGGCAAGATTTGAACCCCAGCACTCCAGTATGAGACCGAGGCATCCCATGAGGTAGCTTAACCTACTGTGCCACAATCCCTGCCCCCATATTTACTTAGACTTTAATGTTTGCTTGTTTTTTTTTGTTTTTTTTTGTTTTTTTTTTTTTGCTTACTTGTCTTTTTCCCCTCAGCTTTACTGAACATATGTAGTTGACGAATCCAAGTTATATTTATGGCACACAATGTGATGTTTTGATATTTGTATACAATGTAAAATGACAACTACAATCAAACTAATTAACATCCCCATCACTTCCCTAGTTACATTTGGGTGTGTGTATGTGTGTGCGATGAGACACATTTGTCCCTTAACTTTTCTGTGACAGCATGATTGCAGAATAATTCCTAGTAAGCAGTTGCACATGGCCATGTTCATTGTACAAAGTTGCTTCACACAGAACTAAAATTGCAAATAACCAATCCCCAAGGCCAGAAATTACATTTTAGCTTTTTGTTCTAGCAATCCTCTAAATGCCAAAAAATCAAAGGGAAGGTAGAAGATGCCTGTAGAAGGTTGAATGTAGAAGGGGAGAGAAAAACAGGCTCTTCCCTTCGGTATTACCATCAACCTTAACCCGTCTGCCCCATCATACTATATACTGCACATATACTGAGCAATATATATACCACTTACAGTAACTTTGAAATAATTATTATGTTACTGAAAGATTTTCAGAATCAAAAACTTGGGACTTAAGAGTTAACGAAAATTTATGTGACTCTGAGATAAGCTTTTATCCATTATTATGAAGGAAAATAAAGTGAGGAACATGAGGAAAGTCAGTAAGAAGGAACTAACCCTTCCAATGCAAATTATAACAAAGCATCCATAATTGAGGACTTCTTGAAGACTGGTATGAAGAACACTGAATGACTAAAGAATTTGCTGTGCTTAAGAGTTTTAAAAATTACGTATTAAAATGTCCTCAAATTATAAGTTTATTAAAAAGGTAACTCCATGCTGAAATTGGAGTGACACAGATGTGGTCTTGTGGTTTATTATGTCACAAGAAGCCACTTGCAGCATTACAGAATTCCTCAGTGTTGTGAGTACATTTGGCCTTTGCTTTTTGTTGAGACATCATTTCTCTGATCACCAGAAAGTTACATGAACTAGACTATGTTTTTGCTTGTTCAGCATCATTATGTACTCTGTAAATAAATAGAAAGTTCAGAAAATATGCAATTAGGAATCAGTTCTGCATAAAATTGTCATTCTTCCAACATTATTGAACTGATTATAGAACATTCTGAATACCACCTGCAAGGATACCTAGTATTGCTAGCCCCATTACTAAATTACTAAGCCCCGACCTTGTGTCCATCCTTTGGAAAAATGTTAAGACTCAATAAGATTGAAAGCACAGAGGTCTGCGAGTACTTCCTCCTCTCAATCAATAAGAACTTCTGTGAAGTGTACCAGGAGAGAGAATGAATGGGGAGCTGGGCTGGGTCTGTAGGACAGAGTTCTGGCATGTGAGTTTATCCGGCAGATAGTGCAACGTCTTCAGAGCTTCAGAAAAGGAGGAATTCCATGACCAGGATTCTAGTTTTGATATGCTGGCAGCCCTAAATCCATTAAGACCATCTTTGCTTCCTCAAAGTATGAATAGAAATGTGACTGGCTAAGTCCCCACAGAAAGTTTAATATACAAAATAGCTACAGCTTTCCCTTTAACAAGACACAAAGAGAAGCAATCTTTCAAAGTTCTGCTTCAACTGATGGAAATTATTTCTTTATTTAATCAAAAACAGTGTGAATGAAGCTTTGAGTCAAATCAGCTTTGAAGTTTGGTATCAATGTGAAGGCAAGGGTAAGGAAACAGGGTAAAGGGGAAAATGCAGAATGGGATGTCAGACTGGATAAGTCACACAAGATACAAAAGAATGCAAAACGACTTTCAAGGGTCAAGACAGCCAACTCTCTTGTGCAGTGTAGACTCAGTATGTCTCAAAAACATGGGCTTGTACCTTTACAATATCCCAAATCGATGACTTTACTTTTTGAAACCAACAAGTGCTTTTCCAATCCAGAAACCTCACACATAAATAATCCCTACCTGGAAATATTGTCAGGTGAGCAGGCCGAGATGCTGGTCTCCATGCTATCTGAGCTGTCCAGGCTCAAAGTATCAAAAGCTTGGTCCTTGTAGCTGTGATCCGGGTAATGGAAGCTATTCAAGTAGACATTGGATTCAGATGCTGTGCGGTTGTAAAATTCTGAGGATTTTTGCCTTTGTCCTTCGCTCATCTGTTGGTGATTATAACCTAAGGCAAGAGCCATAAATATGTTAATATACTTCAATTTTTAGCCTTAGAATCTTGTAAGTCTACAGACTCAAGCCAGCAATCAGAAACATGTGCATATGAAATTTAGGCCTTGGTCTAATTTGTTTTGAAGCCATGAAGATCAAAGAAACAGCATCATGCTCAGTGCAAGCAAGAGTTTCAAAGAAGTGGTCCTGTGAGCGATCTTAATTGTCAGCAGGATCACTTGACACTTTCCTATGCCATTCCTACATTTCAGCACAAGTGAGAGTAATACATCAAAACACACAGACCAAAAAAGAAGCAAGACAAAAGCACTACTAAAGGCAACACTACCAGCACTTTAGGTATGTCACTTATTCAATGATATTCAACTTTAAGGAGCACTCAATCTGGTAATGAAACAGTAGGTCGATTTTTAGGGGTAGGACTTAAGAAACTTATATCTCATACCATCTCTAATATTTTTAATCTGGTTAAGAGTCAAAATATGCACTTCTCTTTCTTGTTTGCTCTCTCTTTTTCAGTTTCTCTTGAGATATTCAGGGTTGGGTACAGTGGGTTAAGCCACCACTGTGACCCCACATCTCATATTATAGGGCCAGTTTAATTCCAAGCTACTTTGTTCCCAATTCAGTTTCATGCTAATGCATCCTGGGAAGTAGCAAATGATGGCTCAAGTGTTTGAGTCCATGTCATGCACACTGGAGACCAGGATGGAGTTCCTGCCCAGTCTTGGCTGTTGTGGGCACTGCAGAGTGACCCAGAAACTCTCTCTTTGTCGCTATCTAGCTACCTATCTTTAATTCTATCTCTCTGTCTCTCAAACACATGAAAATAAATAATCATTTTTTTAAAACTTAGAGGCCAGAGTGGATGTTTGGCATAATGGTTAAGACACTGATTAGGGTACCCACGTTCCACATTAAAGTGCCTGGATTTGATGTGTAGCTCTCGCTCCTGTCTCCAACTTCCTGTTAATGCAGACTCTGTGAGGCAGTAGTAATGACTCAAGTCATTGGGTCCTTGTAATCCACATGGAAGACCTGGGTTGTGTTCCAGCTTTGGCTGGGGCTGCAGCTATCTGGGAACTCAAACTGCCAGTTGGGAGATCTCTTTGTCTCTCTCGCTCCCTCATTCCCTCCCACTCAGGGTCCACAGTCCTCCCAATGGTTATATTCCTCTTATAAACACACACACACATATCCTTTTTCTTTTCCATCTTGCTAGTTTTTAGCTACCTGGTGTTAATCATTTGAAAACTATCAAAATTATCAAAAGCACCATCTGGAAGAGGTATCTTCTCATTCTTACCCCGGTACTTGGACATCTAGTTTGTCAGGTTACTGACTTCTGTTGCTATCCACAGCTTGGTTTCTGATAGCCAGTTTGAAGCATTATACACCAAATTCTCTTCAGTTCTCTAATACATCCTCAGGAAGTGGGGATCATACAGTTAAACAAATCCCTCAATTTACTACAAAACTTCTCCCTTAAGTTTGTAATCTCTTTCTTCCTGATAAGAGAAGTGACTGCTTGAATAGTTTCCATTACCCTGGGAGTTGTTACCAGAGCTAATAAGAGTCTTCAATTGGATCATCTGAATTTAAACCCTTAACCTTGTGTTCTGCCTACTTTTCAACGTGTCTTTTAATTAATGAAACGGCCAAGAAAAGGCAAGAGGACAACAGAAGGGAACTAACTCCACATTGCTGTCCTAGCTGTTGAGTAAACATTCCATTCAGAAACAGAAGCCATATCCATGATGCCTAACAAAATATTACATGCAAAAAGTTTCTACAAAATGATTTTAGTTTCATGCAGAGTTTTCATGCCATTAGTATTTGGAGCAGTTTTACATATCCAAATGAAAAACACATTATTTCTGATTAGATGTTTCTAATAAAATACATTTACTTAATATAATCTGCCATTATAAATTATAAATACATGTGTGTTTTAAAGCCACATATCATTCAGCTAAAGGGGGATGCAAAACATAGAAGCACACCAGGAGACCGATCAAATATCATTCATCATAACGACTAATGTATAAAGCGTTCAGTGAAGCCATTGCATTCATAAGCGTGGAGCTGGTTCTTTCTTTTATTTTTAAATATGGCAAAATGTTAAAAAAAAGTACAAAATAATGAACAAAAAAGGAAAAAAATAACTTATTACCCAATATTTACCTTTGATACTTGAACTTTTGGAATTAGTAATTGCTCCTTTTAAATTGTTTCCAATTATTCATTATGGAAAGGAGGAAGACAAAAAACCAAAAATTATTTGAAATTGTCATATATATGTTTCTTTATGGTTTCACAGAAGGTTTGTGACACTGAACTTGTGACATTGAAAGCTTTCACGTTGGCTCCAGCTACGTGGAAGACATTTCTGTGTTTTAGTATGAAAACCAAATCCCAGAGCAGCCATTTGTTGAGGTTTGACTTTACGTCTGATCTCCCAGCCATGCCGGTGGTAGTATCAGCACCTTACATATTCATGGCAATGCGAAGGACAAAGCATGTGTCTAACGAGCATGTCTTTCGAAGTGCAGGATTTTCGTGTCCCATGGACCAGTGTCAGTGGGAATTCTCATCTAAGGGAGCCACTCATGTCTGCTGATGGGTGACACTTTTCTGATCACAATGAACCCCACTGTCACCTGGCTTTACTTTTTCTCTGCTAAACAAATCCTGAAACTAGTTAACCCTGCAATTATAAACAAGAGCATGGACCTCTCTCTCGTGACCCCGGAATTGCACTGGTATGATTCCAAAGACCACGTTTGGGGATTTGGCTATGATCTGGCTATCCAAAGGTATTGATATTTTCATTTGAGGAAAACATGATAGGGAAGCAGTGGGTTGAAGGAGGGTAGCCTGGTAGAAGGCTCAGCTGTCTCAGTGCAGTGATGAGCACTGGGGAAGCTGTACTTGATTCAGGGGGTTAGCTTTATCAGGGCAGGAGGCATATCCTGCTCACCACAGTAACCCTAGTTATTTAGCACATGAATGTCACAAAGTAGTCATTAAATCAATGCATTTTTCATCAGCAAATTCCAACGACATTAGTGGTTAAAAAAGGCAGTGGAATGCATCTACTCTGTGGGGTTGGGCAAAGGAACTGGAAGGGGAAAAATGAGACTTTCCCCACCCTTGAGACTACTTGGGGTTTGCTGTTATTTTTAAATTATATGGTAAGAATAACATTCAGCAGAGAGAAAGCACAGCGACTTTGGAAGGCTGTAAATCCTCAGCCACACAAATATGGCTGTTTGAAGAGGTAATTACTAAGGTTTAGAAAGCAGGACATGATCACTGTTGAGGTTTATGTCTAATCATAGCACAGACAAGCAACCAAAACCAACCCAGCCATTTTCATTGCCCAGGAGAGACAACAGATTGGACAGGCCAAGTCCATGTATGACAATAATTAGTTTTAATGCCAGTCTATGAATTTGTGCAAATTGAACCACAAAAGTCCTTTGTGAGTTAGCCATTGTGGGATACGTAAAGTTTTGCTAATATATTCCAAATGTGTGTTATATACTTTTGTATGATTATCAGGGCCTTAGCATAGAAAATGATATTTAAAACCATAACTTTGGTTTAGGATAATAAAACTAAACAGTCTTTCTGAATATTCAGCCTCTCATAGCTCACCTGCTGAGGAATTCATTCTTCCTAATGACAGTCCACAGCCGGAAGAAGAAGGACAAGTCAGGAATGAAGGAAGAGAATGATGGAGAAAGGGGAAAAAGATACAAGATCAAAAAGGATGACAAGGGGGCAGGAAAAATATCCAACACTTCCAACATGCAGTCATCGATGGTGTTAGTCACAAGACCAAGTTAACAGCTGATGTTCACATTTTTAGATTAATCCTCAGTTTACAGAGAAAAACTCCAAAGTTAAAAAAGAACTCATGAAACATGCCAGTTAGTCAGAGATAGGTTACAGATAAAAAAAAAAAAATCACATCTCGAATCAACCAGGAAATAGGAAGAATAAAACAAGAATATACGTATATACAATTCTTTTTCCAAACACACAGTAGCAAACGGTTTTTAAGAGCAGAGGTTTATAAAATGCCATTCAATGATTTTGAAGCACAGACCATCAGACATAATAGCAAGTCCTCTGACACCCCATGTCTTTGGCACCTATCCACAGTACTGACCATCTTACTTATTTAAGCCAGCCATATAAACGGTTCATCACTTTTCTCTAAGCCTTTTTTATGAAATAAGCCTAAATGGAATGAATACATAGGAACTTCCGAAATCCTTCCATCCTCCCACTGTAGTCTGCTCTGCTTACACCCAGCCTTTATGTAAAAGCCCCCCCACCCCACCCCCGTGTTTTACACTCAGTCTGTATACACCACAACACCCACTCTTCCCTTTACATGGATCCCATGTCTTACAAAACAATGCTTCCACAGCACTCATGTTTCCTGCCTGGTTTGACCTTGTGATAATAAAGCCAAAACAAAGAAGGTCACACGGCTGCCTGTGAGTGAACAGCAGTTGCACCCAGCATTGCGTTTCTGGTAAATGTGCAACATTTTTTCTCTATTATGTAAAAGGAATAATCATGACTAAATTTCCACCATCGTATGGTTTTAAATCTGATCATTTCTTAAAAGATGACTTGATAATGACCTTTCAGTATTTGCTAGAAACAAAAACACCACACAAAGAGGTTGTCATACCTTTCTTGGACTTTCCTGCATTTAACAAAAAACAAAAGGACAAAGATTTCATTCATCCTAAAGCTTACAAAGGAACAGTTCACAAGCTGGACAAAAGCCAACAAGCATTACAAGTTCAGCAGTTCCTCAGCTCTCTGCTTGAAGGTTCTCTGCAGTGCTCAAATAGTCTGTTCTAGGAAAACAGTGCTGACTGAGGAAGGTTTATACTTACACCATCGTCCTTGATGCATCCATTATGAATAGCAACAAAAAAAATGGTGCATTTAAGTTAATTTATATAAATTTGAAAAACAATAATGTCTACTAAGTTGAGTTAATGAAAATGTGCTAGGTATATATATTTTCTAAACTATGAAATTTCACTTGTAGTGGCTATTTTGATGAAGCCAAGGAGTGACAGTGAAACAATTCTGAATGAGTTTGTGCTTCACCCCTCCTGGTCTTCGTGGGCCACCTGGATAGGCTCCTGAGGGAAGTTTCACTCTCTTCTGTGGCCTCTAAGCACTAGAGTCTTGGAGTGCTCCTCCTACGGAGTAGGGAGCCCAAAGCGGCAGGCTGGCATGAACCAACACAGCTCTCTTGCCTCAGAAGCTGTCCCATCAGCATCGAATGAGGCTCTCAAGAGGACCACATAGAGCTGCACAGAGAAGGACTGAAGTTGCAGTCTTCTCAGGTATACCAAAGACACACCAGTGAAAAACAAGAACATAAAAGAGAAATCAAAGACAGAAGATTTTGCAGAGGGTAAGTCCCTTACATGGCCTAAGGGACTTGGTACAATTTTCCTCTACGAAACTAGCTTAAGGATTTCCGTTACTTGAGGGGAAAACAGAGATTAAGATTCTCATAAGAATTCTCATTGTGATAATGTTAACAGCTCTTGATTTTTATAAACCTATCCATTTACTACAAAGGTCTAGATTTTCATATCTTTAATAAAGTACTTTCAACATAGAATATAAGAATACTTCAAAAAGTTCAAGAAAATGGAATTAAAAGATATTTATTTTGGTGTAAAAAGTTTGAAACTCATGCATAGTTTTTTATAATACATAATTTACATGAACTTTTTGAAGAGCCCTTGTATGCTTGGATTCCAAATGCATTTTACACCAAAATAAACTTACCTTTTCATTTCATTTCCATAAACTTTTTGAAGCACCTATTATAGTCATGTGTGATCCCACCCTCTTTCTGAAGTGCTCCATCTTTCCCTACATTACTGTAATACATAAAGCACATACATATACTGAATGGTTTTTGTCTTTGTTGTGGCCAATCCAAGCTCTGGTGCATTCAGACAGTGGGAAAAATACATTTTAAAAGAGGTCTACTAATAGTACAGAAAAATACTTCAATTGAAAATAGACTTCACCCACATGTTAACAATGATGAATGAGAGTCAAAACAGAAATACCCATTGATGCTTATTATTTGTAAATATTAAGATATTTGTAGCTTATTAGTAAATTATGTATAGAAAATAAGAGTTCAAAATAAGAGTTTGATTCAAATATTACCAGTATAAACCTCTCATAGATTATAACTTCTCATCAATATTATAGCCTCTATTAACTCTTAAATCACTTCTAATAATGATTGGAAAACCTTGTTCAAGTGATATATATATACCACATATACACATATTTGTATTATATACACACACCTATATGTGTGTATGTATTCCTCCCCCTAATGGAAAATCAGTGATTACCCCCCAGCATTATTAGCAGATAGGCCAAGTAGTCACAACTGAATTCTAGCCATGCAAGGGAAAGGTTTCAATCCCAACAATGCATGAATGTACCTGGAGCCTAAAGCTGCCATCCCATCAGCACTCCCATTTTATGTCCTGGGCATATCTCCATTATTGCATTTCTCACATATATGGAAACCATCTATTAAGTATTTTTCTTCCTCGCTAGACTATTAGCATTTCAATAGCAAAGATTATGTCACTCATTTGCATTGTTGGTATCTACTACCACGTCTGCTCAAAAGTTAGGATCAATATAAGATGGCCTAAACTACTGTGCTAACACGATACATCTGCTCCTCTCAATAGAAAGCTCACCTCTGAAACTACATTACATTCATTTCTTCTGCTCCAAAAAGGCTATTTGGGAACCCCATTATAAATGTGAAATATTATTATAAAGAAAACTTGCAGAGAGTCAAAGTCTCCCTGAAACTGAACTCCCTAGTATTAAAAGTTGAAACCTACACTGAAAGACTTGAGGAATTCTGTTCTGGGCTACCTGTGACATTACGACGTCAGCTCAAGGACTCTTCAGTAGGAAATTTGCTAAAGGTGAGTGGTCTTGGTTAAGTGCCCTGGCAATCTCCCCCGGTTAGTGGTCTCTTTTTACTGATCAAATGAGAGCATTAGTGACTGTCTCGGTGCCTTTCTGGTTTGAGAGTTTTATTAGAATTTATAAAGTAACCATGTGTATATCTTAAATGTACCAACTATAAGCATAAATAGAAAAAAGTTATCTTGGTATAACAATAAGGAGATCCATGCATATATTTTTGTCCCAAAGGAGTCACATTAAGAGTAAAATTTTGTACATTGGCTTATTTCCTCCCAGACCATGTCCAACCCTGTTCTCACTCCCTCTCCCTGAGAAATTTTCACACTTAAGCAAAGACCAGGCCATTTTATCTAACAGGTACATACCTCTGAGCATCCTCCGAGATTCAGAGTCTTTGGTCATGGTAGCCAGTGAGTGAGGAAGCACGCTGCCACAGCTGTTGCTCTGTCCCAGGGGCAGGTGAGCCTGTGAGAACCAGGAGGGAAGACTTCAGGCAAGCTGCAGGCCACATGGTCCTCCAGGAGATGGCCACAGCTCTGTTTTCTTAGCTCCTATCTAAACGTAGAGGGCAGGAAAGCTAGGTCTTTTTGTGCAATTTGCTGATGCTAAATGGCAAAGGCCAATCACTGTGCCTCCCAAGAGGCTCCACAGGAATCTCAACATGACTTCTTTTGGTGGTAGTGATTTCAACAATGAAGACAGTTGGGGAAGACACTGTCCAAAATCACCCAAGAGGATGACTGCAGGTTCTTCATGCACAAGGAGCAGAAGGCGGATGCAGGGACAGCAATGCATGCATACCATGCAAAAGGACAGGGCAGGGCTACACCTGTTCCACACGTACTGATCCCTATCTACTCCCTGTTACCTAGTCCGCTGAAAATTGGACACATCTATGAATAATACCTCAGTGGTTTTTAGCATTCCTTTTCAATAAAAATCCTTTGTGTATGTAAAATATATTGGAAACACCAATTTGTCAAACACATTAAAACACAGTTATTCTGATTAAAGGGAGAGGAAGAGCTCAAAAGTCTGTCCCACCCAAACCCTTCTCGTTGACCTCTTCCTGGTTCTTCAGTGACCCCTGGGGCACATCAGCAGAAGAGGAGGGAGAGCACAAGCATCAGACTGTGTGGGTTCCAATTCCAGCTCCACCAAGTCCAGGCTGAAGGCTCCTAGATCAGCCACTTACATGACATTTTAGTTTATCCCCATATACAACTGGGACAATAATCAGCTACCTCCATTCCATAGTGCTGCTGGCCTTTAAATCAATCAGACAATCCACATAAAGGGCTGAGCTCAGGGTCAATCACACTGATGTGACTCAACAAATGTTTGTTGCTGTTATTCCTAGAACCCAGAGTCTACATTCTATCTTATTTCTAAATCAGAGATGAGCTTCAGGAGCCTACCACCAGGTTGTGGTAGTCAGAAAATACCATGATGCTCTTTGGCTTCCAGAATGTACAACTGAAAATGTCCACTAAATAAGATAGAAAATGCTATTTAATTATGATGCCTCCCTAACAAGCAGATGTCATGGGTTTATCATTTAGCATTTGTTCTTAAAGGTCTTTGCAGGCTGACCAATAGGATGATCAGAAGACTCACGGAAAGCGAAGCCCGTGGCTCTGCACAGGTCCTACCTTTGGGGTGGTGCATCTCCCCATTGTAGCACTGCTGAAATGTGGGGAGATGGAAGGTGTGGTTTTCTTTCGAGGCAAAGTGTCACTCAGATAGAGGCCTTCTTTATGCTGTTTTTTCCTTTCTTCCAGACTTCTAAAGTGCTTTAAATGCAAATGTAAAGCAAAATAGCAAAACTTGACTAACTGCAACCGATCACTGAAGAAATGAAGAATTATGCATTTATAAAGAAGCTTTGGAAATTTTAACACAATTAAGTGAAGATATATTCAACTTATCCTTGTGTTCACTAACAGATTCGTGTTAGCAGGAAATAATTTATTATTGAACCTAGAAAAGCTTGAAAAAAAAAAATCCACCATTCACTTCTGTAGTGCCTGCTGCCTTGAGACCTCAGAACAACTTAAGATTTTTATGACGGTCACCACGTGGATGGTGGAGCAGGCAGTGGACAAAGCGAGTGTACAGTGTGCCTCTGGTCTGTCTGGGCAGTTCTGTGTGTTGGCACAGATCCCAGTGTGAGGTGGACAAGACAAGGGAGAAGGAAGAAGACAAAGAGAAAGCATAAACAGGAAGTTTCTTGAAAGTAGTACTACCATTTCGGTCACATAAACACATTCCGAATCCACACGATGCTTCCACAGATGGTATCCTTTTAGGTAACTCATTTAAAGAAGAGCTTGGCCAAGGGGCTTCTGCAGTAATTTCTCACATCTAAATACCCTCAGATTTCTAAAGCAAGATTTTTGCTAACTTAAAACCTATCCAAATTTTTCTTGGCCTCCCCCCCAAAAATGTCTTCAATGGTAAAAGTACAATGGTGTAACAGTAAAATTCATAAACCTAATGAGAGTTTTCAGATCTTATTCTTTCAATACTAGGTTCAGATTTTTGAAATACATAAAAGTAATATAATTTTGAATTAACATTTATAACAGTGTTCAAACATGCCAATTATGAAAAAATATGCACCTTAACTTTACAGTTATCTATTTATGCTAGCTAATGGATATTAGGAGCTTACTACATGCCAGGTGTGATGCTCTGTACATATTATCTCATTTAATTCTTGCAGTAATTCCATGGGGTAAGTACTATTCCTACCCTTTATTTTACAAACAAATTATCAGGAGTGCAGAGAGAGTAAATAAACATTCCAAAGGTCATACAGCTGGAAACTGGGGGAGCTAGAATTCATAGCCAAATAGTCCACGCTCTGATAATGACCTTTGATGTTTGCCTGCTAAAGGTTCATTTTAGTTAGAAAAATGGCATTAGAACACTTTCACTCCCACTATGACCAAATGTCACAAATTCAGAAATCTAAGCCTTCCAAATATTCCAATATGGTAGTTTATTAAAATGGGAAAGAACTCCCATTGAAAATGCAGTCTAATTGATATTTGGCAGAATATCAGGTTTAAGAACTGATGATTTTGCTACTAGAGATTTTTTTTTTAATCCTGAATGAAGTTGTTAAAGAGATAAAACATCAAAATTGAAGGTATTTAGTTCTTTAGGTCTCCATGTTCATCCTCTGTGTACAGCACTTACACAATTCTCTTTTATATGACCTCAGGTGGCAATAACCCAACAGTGCTGAGGAGTCACAGTCCCTCAACCAACTGTGTACAGACAGCGAAGCTCCCTTGTAAGGCCTGGCATAACAAACCAGCGCTCGCCGACTTCAAGGATGTTTTGATCAGGATTCTTTGGGATCTTTGGGATCTTAGGGATCTTCTTTGGGATTCTTAGGGATCTTAAATCCTGTAGGAATTTGCTGAAAGGGAATCTTGAAACAATTTGTTTAATATCCCAGCTTTACTACATACTGAGTATTCTAAAAGAAGGGCAACATTCAGGATAACGAATTATTCATTCAAAAATCTGATCAGTAGGCCGGCGCCGCGGCTCACTAGGCTAATCCTCCGCCTAGCGGCGCCGGCACACCGGGTTCTAGTCCCGGTCGGGGCGCCGGATTCTGTCCTGGTTGCCCCTCTTCCAGGCCAGCTCTCTGCTGTGGCCAGGGAGTGCAGTGGAGGATGGCCCAAGTACTTGGGCCCTGCACCCCATGGGAAACCAGGATGAGTACCTGGCTCCTGCCATCGGATCAGCGCGGCGGCCATTGGAGGGTGAACCAACGGCAAAGGAAGACCTTTCTCTCTGTCTTTCTCTCTCACTGTCCACTCTGCCTGTCAAAAAAAAAAAAAAAAAAAAAAAAAAAAAAATCTGATCAGTAAAAACTGCTGTCCTAGGGACCAAATGTGCTACTGTGGTGTGACCTTGGACAAGCTCTTTAGCTACACTGAATCTCGGTTCCCTAAACTTCAGGAACGACACAATTTTCATTTCACAGGATTATTAGAACAACCCAAATATCTCTAAAATGCTTAGTAAATTTTCACAGATGGCAAGGGAATGATGTCTATTATTGTAGTTTCTATAAAGTATGATAAAAAGATTTTGTGTTGACATGGCAGTTTTTTTATGCTGAGGGATTTATGAAAATTCTTATTGGTATTTTGAGCAATGCCTGAGATACACTGCAACATGCTGGCTGAATGAGAACTGAAGCATGAGGATGTGGCCCTCAAACGTATGAGAAGCCAGGAAAGGGTAATCAAGGCCTCTCAAAACTTTATAATCAACTCACATCTTTCAATAAACTAAATGTCCTTAAGAAGGAAAAAACAAACAATCAAGAAAGGAATATGAAACTTGCCTTTTAAAAAAACACCTTTGGAAAAGTTGAAGAAAATATTCCACATAAGTACCCTCATGGTCAAGGTAAGATTCCCAAATTCTATACACCAGTTACTAGTTACCTGTTGCTCCTGGGGCTGCTGCCTCCTGTGTTTCTTAGCTGGCAGAGGAGGAGGTGTGTCATTTAAAGGGAAAGGTTCGATAGATGGAGCCATGACTTCAGGCCATGAGTCTGATGGAGGTTGAGTGACAGGATGAGCAGAAAGGGTGGAAGGAAACACAAATCCAGAGCAGACAGGAGAGCTTTGCTTTGTAGGAGAAAGAAAAAGTATATGTGTCTACATGAAATGAAAAGATATGCAAAGGAATGAAACTGATAAATTGATAATCTCATTATTCTGCTTTGTCATATTTTAATCAAGAATCACAAATGATGGCCTCTATCTTTCAATTTAGTACTTGTTAAAAATCTCACTCTGTAAGAAATGTGGCTCACTAGAAGACTTTTTAATTTACTATTATTGGCCCCACTCCTGAAAGGCATAACACTTTTAAAAATTTTTTTTTTTTTTTTTTTGTGAAACAAAATAAAAAACAAAATTAAACTAGGAAGATGCTTCAAACCAAGAAAACTAGGCCAGGCTACCTACAGGGCTAAAGAGATGGATCAGCTTATTCCTTTGAACTTCCTTCTCCGGTCCTCCTCTCTGTACCATCTATGTCATAGTGTCTAGCATTTTAATGGGTAGAGCAGGATCCCCAAACTGGGATGATATATAAACAGCATCACTTTGTTCCTTTGGCTAACCAGACACGTATTTGTCAACACACCCTCATGTTGTGCGTTTCCAGCGATCCGTGGGTTAATGTTTGACATGAGGAGAAGCAGTGAATGAAGGAAACGTCATGCCAACACACCTCTTTACTCCGTGGCTGGCTCGCCAGCACAGCCGTGGCAGGCTCAGTGGCAACAGCATCAGCATCAGCATCAGCAGGGAACTGAGTGGAAGGGGACAGAGTCGTGGAATTGCCACATGGCTCATTAATTTCATTTACAGTGATATAGCCCTAAAAGGAGGAATTCAGAAGTTAAACAAAAGAGGCAAAAGCTGAGGCATGCGAGAGTATTAATGTTCCCAGTTCAATGGAGTTAGCTGACAGCAGCACAGCCAGGTATCTGGGTGATATCAAATGTTTCATTAAATGAGTAATCAGCAATTAAAATGGATTTATGGTGCTTGATCTTGAAAAATGGCATCTAATCCATTCAACAGAATTTTTCTGGTGAAATCAATATGACAACAAATAACCCAACACCTTCGATTTCCAAATATTCAGAGGTATCAGCATTCATTCTGTGGATGGAATGAAACTGTCACTATATACACACTGAAAAAAAAAATCACACACCAAACAGTCTGATAACAAACAAATGCAATCACTCCCTACTACAAGAGCCTTTTCCACAAACCTTTATTAGTTTTTCTCCCCTTCTTTTGTTTCCTGATGAATTCAAATGTTGAGTAAAAATGGCCTGAGGACTACCAGGTTTTATACTAAGAGACATTTATTAAAATGTTTTAAAATAGAATCTAATTTGGGGATATTTCAACCCAACGAGAACAAAAAGGACACTCCCCTCTCATTCTGATGAGCCTTCCCTGGCAAAATAAATGTGTTCAGGAGCACAGACATGTGCACACACACACACACACACACACACTTGTGAACAAACTGCCCCTCATATAGAGCCCTAAGGTGCAGTTACAACTGCTGTGTGTCTGAATTCAAGGCCGCTTCCCCAGTCTCCCACTCTGCCTTTAGGACAGAATTTCTGGTTACTTTTGAAGTCAGTAATTCTGGTTTTGCTTCAGCTTAGAGAAAATAACCATGAATCAAAACTCCTGAATTATTATTTGTGGAAAAGGCACTTGTAAATTTTCACAGAAAGTATTTATACAGAGCAATCATGATTTTCAACACACCAATAAATCAGCATTAAAAAAAGAACAAAGGGCATAAACATCTCTCTTTTTAAAATAAAATTGAGTTAAATTGGACATTTTGGTACTTCTGTTACCCCATCAGTCCTTTAGAAAAATGACTCCAGGAAAGGCATGCTATTATTATGCTGATGTGCTGATGCAGCAAAAATACCAGGCTGGAAATCAAGGTTCCTACTGATAAGTTACTGATGATTATAACACAATGGAGAAAGTTAGAATTGACTGTTTATAAATTGGATGTATCAACGTCTTGCACTTTAGAAAAAGGATAGTACACAAAGTTTTATAATGTTAAACTAGGCTGAGAAATATCATTTTACCTACAATAATGAATCAGAAAGAAAATGGGCAACTCTGAGTTATTCTCCTGCTCAGTTTGATGGTAAAATGTTTCAAAGCCAGGATTTGATTCCTCATATGAGTTACTGAGCACACAACTTAATTAATTATTTTTTAAAAGTCTATACCATTTGTGACTCATGGGAGCTCTTTCAAGAGTTAGGTAATAAATTCAAGAGTTAGGGAATAAGGCTGGTGCCGCGGCTCACTAGGCTAATCCTCCGCCTTGCGGCGCCAGCACACCGGGTTCTAGTCCTGGTCAGGGTGCCGGATTCTGTCCCGGTTGCCCCTCTTCCAGGCCAGCTCTCTGCTGTGGCCAGGGAGTGCAGTGGAGGATGGCCCAAGTGCTTGGGCCCTGCACCCCATGGAAGACCAGGGTAAGTACCTGGCTCCTGCCATCGGATCAGCGCGGTGCGCTGGCCACAATGGCCATTGGAGGGTGAAGCAACGGCAGAAAGGAAGACCTTTCTCTCTGACTCTCTCTCTCACTGTCCACTCTGCCTGTCAAAAAAAAAAAAAAAAAAGAGTTAGGTAATAAATTTACAACTCCTCAAGAAAACAAAAAAGAAAAGAATGAAAGAGCAGAAAGGTAAGAAGAAAAAAACCCACATAGATCATCTACTTGACAGGTGAAGGGAAACACATCTATCTACTCAACGAGCACAAGAATTACAGATATTAAAATTGTAAAAAAAAAAAAAAAAAAAAGTGGCTTTGATACCAAGAAATCTGCAGGAAAGGAAACCCCTAAAAGAAAAAGGACAGATTTTATTTTTCTGTTGGGAGTTGAAGAGACCTCAGAAGCCATGTAATTCAGTTCGATGCCACCAGCCCTTCAAACTCAGCGTGTCCAGAATCTTAAACCTATTCTTGCTTGGTAAAAGGCATTCGCACCATCCATCTTGGTATCTACAGCGGATAATGGCATCACTCCTGACACCTCTCTGATTTTCTTTAACTACACATCCAACCTATCAGCAAGAAGCATCAACTCTACTTCCAAAATATATCCAAATCCAGGTGGATCCTCTCCCTCTCTCTCTCTCGCTACTATTGCTCTATTCAAGTCAACAGCGCCTCTAATCTTTACTACTACAAATACGTCCATACTAGCTTCCCTGCGTATCTTCTTATTCTTTATAACCCAGTTTTGACCACGATGCCCAAAGTGATCTTTCACAAACAAATGTCAAACAATGTCACCTCCCTTATTAAAACCCCTGGACTTCCCACCAAAATAACGTAGACCAGATTTCTTCAACAGGTGTTCACAAAATCTGCCCCCACCCACATTGTTGACTTTATCATATGCCACTCCACTCCACTCAATCACCTTCTGTTTCTTGAACCTCCTACTGCCATTTCCATGTTCAGAATAATAAGGAGAAGTTATAAAACTGAACGGTCTAATAAAGCCTTTGTAGAAATATTTTCACAAAATGTTTCAAGAGTACACATTTAGTCATGCCAATACCATAATGAGTATTTTACTTCATGTATTTACACAAAAATATTTTTATGTAGAAATTCCCATCTCTGTTATCTTTTTATAAGCAATGTATAAGCAAAAGAGATTTTTATGTTTATGTAAATTTTTATGCAGAAGCAAGTTTTCTTCTTAGTTTTTTAGAAAAAAAATTAAATGTAAAGAAACATACTGTCTTTCCAAATCAGAGATGTAGTTTTCCAAATCAGAACCAAAATAATCAACCAGTGTAACTCGTTATACAAAGAGGACATCTGAAAAAGAGTGGTGATGGGAACTAGGGAAAGATGATGTTAGGGATCAAGACTACACACAATTCAATTGAAGAGAAAAATATTTCTACATGAGGAGAAAATAGTAGATAGAGAAAAGAAGTAGACTATTTTCTCCAACATTTGGGGGAATTTTCATGTAAAACTCAAGAGAAAAGGAGTAAAGGAAAAGACAGGGAGTGGGAAAAGACACTGCAGGAAGAAAAGAGAATTTAAGATTCATTTGGGATTGGATACTAAATTTTTTTTTGAAATTCCAAGTTAACCCACAATATCACTGCCAAGCAAATTTTCTACATATATATGTGCATACACACACACACGAAGCACACACACACAAAACACAATATGTGTATCTACATCACACACAAAGGCAATCCCTGAAATTCTCCAAGTATAAATCACCACAGGCATGAAAATCTTCAAAGTATGGATTGCTTACACAGTCATTTGAAGTAGCACCTTTATAATTCCATTAATCATGGAAGGCGAGATGAGTTGACGTGTAAAACAGTAACTTACCTCTTTTAGAGTACTAGGGTTAACAGGGAACCCTTTCCCCCCAGACAGGCTGGAGTATTTCTTTTCCAAATTACAAAGATTCTCCTTTTCCTGAAGGAACATAACATTTATTAAGCTTGGCGTCAACTGAGAAGCAGTGACTTTGCATTAGAGACAAACATCTGAATCCTACCCACTTCTCACACAGTTCCAATTGCAAGCTGAACACCTCACCATCTGCTGATAGCTGCTGCAATGCACGAGCTGTTTTCAAACACACTTAGTTAAATAACCTTTCATTCAAGACAAATTTTATAGAGTGACAATGCTTTTTAAAAAGCTGCTCTAGATGAAAACAAGAATGAAAACAGAAGCCCCCAGTGATCCTCTCAGCTCTTATAATCTGCAGATTTTCTAAAGTCAATGATTTTATCCTTGCAAGTAACCTGTAATCATGTGCCCTCCACTGATGTATTACCACAGTTTAGGTATGTATTTTCTTCTGGAAACTTCATGTTAAAGGACCTTTAGGAAAAATATTTATGGGTCACAGTGTTCTTTTTTTTTTTCTTAAGATTTATGTATTTATTTGAAAGGCAGAGTTAGAAAGAGAGAGAATGAATACATTTTCCAATTGCTGGTTTACTCCCCAGTGGCCACAACCAGCCGATCTGAAGCCAGAGCCAGGAGTTTCTTCCAGGTCTCCCAAGTGGGCACAGGAGCCAAAGATGGGCCATCTTCAGCAGCTTTTCCCAGGCGCATTAGCAGGGAGCTGGATCAGAAGTGGATCAGCTAGGACTCAAATCTGTGCCCATATGAGATGCTGGTGTTGCAGGAAGTGGTTTTACCTGCTATGCCCCAGGGTCACATTATTTTAATTTACTGTGATATAATTCACATCCAGTGAAATGTGCAGATTTTTTTTTGGACAGGCAGAGTTAGACAGTGAGAGAGAGACAGAGAGAAAGGTCTTCTTTCTGTTGGTTCACTTGGTTCACCCCTCAAATGGCCGCCACAGCCCGCGCTACGCCGATCCAAAGCCAGGAGCCAGGTGCTTTCTCCTGGTCTCCCATGCGGGTGCAGGGCCCAAGCACTTGGGCCATCCTCCACTGCCCTCCTGGGCCACAGCAGAGAGCTGGACTGGAAGAGGGGCGATCGGGACAGAATCCGGCACCCTGACCGGGACTAGAACCCGGTGTGCTGGTGCCACAGGCAGAGGATTAGCCAACTGAGCCGTGGCGGCAGCCAAATGTTCAGATCTTAAGTAGATAATTTCTTTCACTCTATATGTTACCTGCATCAGTAGCTCACTTTTTTTTTTTTTATTATTGAGCAGTGCTGTATTATATAAATGTACTTGAGAATTTGTTCATCCATGCTCCTGTTAGTGGCTACTTAGGTTGTTTCTAGTGTTTTGGTTATTATGAAAAGGGCTACTTTAAACAATACAAATTATTTATGAAGACACAATTTCATTTCTGTTATGTAAATATCTAGGAGTGGGGTTACTGAATCATAGGGTAGGTGTATGCTTTTACTTAAAGATTTTATTTATTTATTTAAAAGGCAGATTGAGAGAGAGAGAGAGAGAGAGAGAATCTTCCATCCATTGATTAATGCCCCAAATGTGGCAACTGCCTGGGCTGGCCCAGGGTGAAGCCAGGAGCCAGGAACTCCATTCAGGTCTCCCAGTGGATGGCAGGCACCCAGATACTAGGGTCATAATCTTCTCCTTTCCCAGGCACGTCAGCAGGGAGCTGGATCGAAAGTGGAGCAGCTGGGATTCAGACTGGGACTCTGATATGGAATGCCAGCAGTGCAGGCAGAGGCTTAACCCACTGAGCCACAGTGCCAGCCCCTGGGTTTGTTCCGACACAATAAAATAAACTTCTGAATTCTCTGAAGAAGTTATACATTTTACACCAACATCAGCAATCATGAAAGTGCCAGCTGCTTCATATCCTTTCAAACATTTTGAAATTTTTGCTTATTAGTCATTTTAATTGCTATGAGGTAGAATCATTTCATCATTTTAATTTTTTCCTTGAAGACTAATAATGAACATTTCTCTATGTGACTCTTTGCCTTTCATATATCTTCTTTTATGAAGTGTCTTTGTATGACTTTCACATGGGCTTTAAATTTTTTATTGATGTTTATCTATTATTGATGTATTATTGAGCTGCAGGAGTTATTAGTATATTTTGGTTTTTTTATTAGCATATTTTGGATAAAAGTCCTTTGTCACTTCCTTTAAAAATCATTGTTTGCTCAAGGCCAAAAAAAGCATTCTTACACTCAAATGTTCTTCTGGAAGCTTTCTCATTTTAACTTTTCTGCTCAGGTCTATGATCTGTCTTGAATTAACATATGTTAATACATATAAACATATGTTTATACATATATTATATATATATATATATATATATATATATATATATAGTGAGGATGTTGAGGCTTAATCTTTCTGTTTACCCAGTTGATCCTACACCATTTGTTGAAGACTTTCTTTTCTCTGCTGAACCATCTTGCAGCCTTTGTCAAAAATCAATAGACAGCATATGTGTACATGTCTATTTCTGGACTCTCTGTTCAGTTCCATTGATCAAAATGTTTATTTGTATGCCAGCACCACACTCTCCTAAATACTATAGCTTTACAATAAACCTCGAAATCAGATCATACAGATCCTCCAACTTTGTTCTCTTTGTTCAAGTTGCTTTGGCTATTCTAAGCCTTTTGCATTTTCATGTTCTACTGGCCCCATTACTTGTGGTAGTTATGTTCTATAATGCTGCCACAAACACTTAGTGAATGTTGAATTACTGTTTCCATGGGAAACACAGGGTTCTGTCCCTGTGAGCCTCTGACCACAGCACTTCTGCCAACTAATAAACAATTTTGCTTTATGAGTGTTCCATTTGCAGACATAAATTTAATAAACATTATTGATTTATTAACATTGAACCGACAGTCAACAGCACTATGACTCATGGTTGAATGAGGCTTATTGAACACATGGATTTTCTCCACAAGGTATCACAGCTTTCTTGCACTTAGGAACACTAGGCAGCTAATTTAAATAGCAAATCACCAACAAAAAGCACATAAATGTGAAAGCACAGCATGAAAAAATCACAAAAGGGACATCTGTTTGCAGAACAAGATTTGAGACATCAAGGCAGGGTGTTGTCTTGTTCACCATAAGCAGAGAATATGCATGTTTGATGACTAAGTTTTCACAGTTCTGAGCATGTCTGTGAACGGTCACAGAACACCACGGCTAGAGATTTGGGGTTACAAATAAGTTTTAATTCTAATTGGGCAAATTGAGAAATATGGAATTCATAAATAATTAGGATCAACTATGAAATTCAGCATTAACTTTGCAGTTTCTTTAAAAAAACTCAGAATTTTGGGGGAGATTGAAATGTATCTGTAGGACAATTTGGTAAAATAAAAATCTTAATATTTATAGAAAGCAATTTTTACAATAAAAATCATATTTTCAAATATTTTTCATGAAGGAAACATTATATCTCTGATTATACTCACCCATTTAAAAAAACCTATTATTAAGAGATTTTTTTTTTGCTGAATTTTAAAGGTTATTTAAATACTACATATTACATGATCTAATTTAAGATATGCCTTTGAATATTGTGTGCAAAGGGTAAAATGGTGGAGAAGCTAACAGAATCACAGCAGGGAGTAGGAAGGCTACCAGGGATCTGTACCGGCTACAAAGGTACCTCAAGTGGACTCCTAATTCCATGTGAATGATTTGGCATGGTTGAAAATCCCCATCAAAACCCATGTTGAAATAGGATCATGAGGAATTAAAAGGTGGAACAAAGTGAAATCTTTAAAAGGTGATTAGGTGACAAGGGAAGAGCTTTTACAAATGTATTAATCCATTCATAGGTTAATGGGTTTTCTTATAAGTGAGTCTGTTGGGGCCGGCACTGTGGCATAGCGGGTAAGGCCGCTGCCTGTAGTGCATCCCATACGGGCACTGGTTTGAGACCTGGATGCTCCACTTCTGATCCAGTTCTCTGCTATGGCCTGGGAAAGCAGTAGAAGATGACCCAAGTCCTTGGGCCCCTGCACCTGCATGGGAGACCCAGAAGAAGCTCCTGGCTCCTGATCGGCACAGCTCTGGCCATTGTGGCTGTTTGGGGAGTGAACCAGAGGATGGAAGACCTCTCTCTCTCTTTGCCTCTCCTCTCTCTGTGTCACTCTTTCAAATAAATAAATAAATAAATCTTAAAAAAAAAAAAAGTAAGTCTGTTACAAAAGCCAGTTTGGTCTTGTCTCTTGGATACATCCCTCTTGCCATGTGACGTCCTGTGCCACATCAGGCTCTGTGGAGAAGGCCTTTAGCAGCTGCAGCCCCCTGACCTTGGAGCTGCCAACTATTAGCTGAATAAACCTTCATTCTTTATAAATTACCCAGTCTGTGGTCTGCAGTTATAGCTACAGACTAAGAAAGATCTAGTTCCTCTCTCTTCTTAACCTTAAACTAGCTAAGAAGGGAATGCTCACTTCTTCTGGGTGAGGACACGATACAGTTTCGTTTTTTAATCCTTAATTCTGGATCTGGTCTTTGTCTTGCCCCCCACTCTTGGTCCATCAGATATTTTCATGATGCCAAGATCATATTTCTAGGCAGTGGCCTGTATTCAGCTTAGATCTGAGATAAGCTCCATCATTTTTAACATTTGGTGTCATATCCCTGAAGATACACTAGGGAACACGTCAGAAAGTAGAATACAGGTTGTTTTTTATTTATTTATTTATTTTTTTTTACTATCTTTGGACAAAGGAACCTCTTACATATAATCACATTAAGTGCTGGGAGAGATGAGGCTACAGACAATCTTGCCATCCCTCTCACCACATAGAGTCACCCAGCCAAGTAAGTTAAACTAACTCCAGTGTGGCATTTGCCATGAAGACCCACACACATATAACACCAGAGCACCTAATACAAAACGTTTGATCGCAGTAAAAACACCATCTTTGCTGATCCTACCCTAAATCCATGTTGTATGTTAGCTAATGAAAAAAATTCAATTTTTAAAGGGGGAAATAGGAAAATTTCCACAGTTCCAATTTTCACAATATAAATGAAGCATGAAGAAAAAACATCCATGCTTATTTTCCCAGTTGTAATTATTCACCAAAAAAGCTAATTAATGTGAAAGATTAGATTTAAAAAAATATGCAAGAATATTCTTTTCATCCTAAAGGTATTCACTACTAAAAGCAGGAGGCAATTTTCTGACAAGTTGGCACTCGTGTTTTATTGCAACCAGCGCTGAAAAGGAAGTACTTATACTTACTCTTTGTAGCATCATTATTAAATTATTCTTTTCTTTCACAAAATGATCTTGTTCTCTCTGAGCCTGCTGGACAATGTGATTGGCTTGCTTTTTCAATGCAGAAATTTTTTCCTGGAGGAAAAAAGGTGATCAGAGAAAAACACACATTAGACCTTCAAAGGTTTGCTAGTCTGTCCCGGAAAAGGGAGAAAAGGTTTTCATAACTGGAGTAACAGGAACCACATTTCACTGATGGTGGAGGGTAATTTTTACCCAGAGACTATGAAGCATTGTCTTTGACCTGCTGAGCTCAAAACTTTACTTAAAGCCAATACAGTTCAAGTGATTTGAAATCTATTTCGAAGAAGCCAGCAGTCAACAGGAAATTTTGTTTTAGACTATCAGTGCATTTTTGACATCATCTTGGGAGATATCTCCTGGTAAAAACAACAATGGAATTTCTTATTTAAATGGAGAGTTCAAGGAGTCTCTTCCCTTTTGTCTTCCCTTGTTTCAATTTCATCAGTTTAGTACAGAGCCCTGGGGCGTGATTCTAAATTCTAGAACAAGAGCTGAGTTCTAGTCTAGGTGCAAGGAGTTGGGTGGAGTTGGTAGTATTCCACTGGGCTGTTTCTAATTGTAAAAAGCTTTGAGAACTACTGAACAATGAAAGTAGAGAAAACTCCCAAATAGACTGTTCACAGAATTGTTCTGCACCTTGCTATTATAACTGCAAAACGAAGTCATTTAAAACAAGTATCTGCATTCCTCTTTTTTTTTTTTTTTGACAGGCAGAGTGGATAGTGAGTGAGAGAGACAGAGAGAAAGGTCTTCCTTTTTGCTGTTGGTTCACCCTCCAATGGCCGCCGCGGCCGGCACACTGCGGCCGGCACACTGCGCTGATCCGATGGCAGGAGCCAGGTACTTATCCTGGTCTCCCATGGGGTGCAGGGCCCAAGCACTTGGGCCATCCTCCACTGCACTCCCTGGCCATAGCAGAGAGCTGGCCTGGAAGAGGGGCAACTGGGACAGAATCCGGCGCCCCAACCGGGACTAGAACCCGGTGTGCCGTTGCCGCAAGGCGGAGGATTAGGCTATTGAGCCGCGACGCCGGCCTGCATTCCTCATTTTTCTATACCTTGGTTTTCACATACATGAAAAAAGTCAGATATATTTTGATGTTTCATATTGAATGTCACTGGCAAAAGTACCTTCCTAGTAACAATGTTCCGTTGATATTCAGCCACTTCACGGAGGAGCTGTTGGGTCAAGTTCTCCTTTTCCTCATCCAGTCGGCTCTCATGTTCCAGCTGCTGGAATTCCAGGTCTTCAAAGTGTTTGCTTTCAACATCCAGTAGGTCTGCATCCTTTGGAGAAAAGGGAAGGAAACAAGACACACCAGGATGGCTGCAGCCTTCCTAACACGTAGAAAGAATTTTCAAAAGCAGTCAGTCCGAGGTATCATTCTAATGTAACTCTGACCAGGGTTAGAACAAATCAATCTTACCAAAGATGTGTCATAGTCTTTATTTGAAATGAGACTTTATAATAGAGATTAAAGATTCAAAAGTTCGCATACATGCAAACTGGGGATCTCTAAGAGGGATACATGTGCCCCACATATCACTCAATACAATCAACTTGAGAGTGAAGAATAAATATTAGACCTTCCTTATAATTATTTTCAGCTTCTTTTTTAAAATTTTAATAAACTTTAATGGTAATAAATTATATAATAATATATTTATTAAAATATACTCCCAGTATACACACAAGTAAAGTGGCATATGTATGTCATTTTCAAATATATATTATTTTAGTATGCATGAAATATATATTTATAATATTCTTTTATATATAGGGCATGTATGCTCAAATAACTTTAGTGACGAGATCATCAAAAACATTTGGACATCCATTCTGAGTGATAATGATGTGTCAATATGAGTTCAGTAATTTTAACAGATGTGCCACTCTGGTGAAGATGTTGATAAAGGAGGAGGGAGGCACGTGTGGGGACAGAGAATATATGGGAAATGTCTGTATCTTCTGCTCCATTTTGCTGTGAACCTAAAAGCACTCATTATAAGACACTAAGTCTATTAAACCAAGTTTGGAGCTTGAAGTTCTTAAATCTGGATTCTATGAACCTCTTAAAAATTTATAAAGCTTTTTTCTGAAAAGAACAGAAATAAAATCTTTCATTAGGTACAAAGGGTGACTTAGAAGAATCAACTTGAGCACATTTAAGGAAAATCAGAAATCTTGAAAATTAGATGGTCTAAAATAAGTATTCTGCACATGAGACATTTGGTGTTAGGAAGATACTCATGCATCTGTGTTATTGTAGGGATTGGTGCATGTGTTTAAATTATTCTCCACTATATATATATTTTTTGAACAGGCAGAGTGGACAGTGAGAGAGAAAGATACAGAGATAAAGATCTTCCTTTTTGCCGTTGGTTCACCCTCCAATGGCCGCCGCGGCCGGCTTTTCCTGGTTTCCCATGGGGTGCAGGACCCAAGCACCTGGGCCATCCTCCACTGAACTTCCTGGCCACAGCAGAGAGCTGGCCTGGAAGAGGGGCAATCAGGACAGAATCCGGTGCCCTGACCGGGACTAGAACCCGGTGTGCCGGTGCCGCATGGCGGAGGATTAGCCTATTGAGCCACGGCGCCGGCTATTCTCCACTATATTTTTAAAAAGTCCTTCATTTTTGGAGCTTTTGACAGGATTATAAATGTACTATCATAGATTTCTTAAAAATATAATTTATAAATAATCCATGACCTAAAGGAAGAAGCAACTGAGCTGATGTGTCCCACGGCTCAACAAAGCAAAACCAGCAGGGCATATTTATTAATGTTCAATCAAATCGTAAAAGACAGTTAGAGAAATAATTACATGATAGGTGAAATCTATATCACCATTAGCTCCCCTCATGAAAGTGATAATGCAATGGAATATATTTTAATCTTCTGTAATGAATTTTATTATAGGGAGAATTCATAAAGGTTATTAGCTGTTCTCTAATTGCAGTCAATACTATAGTAACAACACTATTATGTAATATAGATTGTCCATTCTCAAAGCTTAAGAGCAGCAAAAACATAATTTGAAAATCATATTCCACATTACATAATACTTCTTTATACTTTACTTGACCAAAAAGAATATTGTCTTGATTTCAAGTTTTTGATTGCTATTTCAAGTTTACCCAATATTTCAAATTCTAATTTCTAAATGAATTAAATAAATTCAAGAATTAAGAGACAATTTTTAAGCATTGTATCTTGAAACAAAGTATCTTCAGTCTTAATACATTAGCTGAAATATGTACTCATGTAGGTATACACACCCAAGTTTTTAAGGTCTTTCAATTAAGTTTGCTTTGTGGCTAAAGATTATTGTGATAAAAATACACCTTTTTTTGCACTTGTAAATAATATTCATTCAATGTGGAAAAATTAACATGCACACATGCTACTCAGTCACTTACTCCACATCTGGCTGACACCTAACATGTTATTTTAACCTCCACATGAAGGTCATAGACTCACTAATTTACTTTCAGTAAATATTTAAACTACTGCATGAAAATAATGGCACACTAGCTAGGAAAGCTGAAAATTAAGTCTAGGTCAGCACTCAAGATTCTGCTGGTGTAATCATCTGACTAAGTTTTTCTAAACCAGAAAATATGTGTATATAAACTTAAACTCAGAGAGAAAAAGTAATTGGTAAGGGAATAAAAACTTGTGAAAGATTTTAGATAAGAATAAGAATTCAAGGGATGTTATTTAGGACCAGGAGCAGTTTAACTGAACACAGAATAATATATACAGGAAGCTCAGTCAAGTACTTGCCTGGTGGAATGAAAATTTCAAGTAAATTTCACTACGAGAATGTTTTCATTACTGGCTGGCAAGCTTAAAGGCCAAGCATGAAAGGAAATATAACAGCTGCTCTAATGGAAATTCTATACAATTGCTTGTTTCTTTCTAATAACTTTTTTGAGAATTTATATGGCATTAGTTTATATTCAGCACTTTATGTTTACTTTAATGGAGGAACAGACAGGAATATTTGTAAAAATAACCTCATGATAACTCCAGAATAATTCTGGAAGCAAATTTAAATGGGGTTCAGGGTTTGTTATCATTTTTTCCATCTTATGGTCTATAGTCAAACACTTCAACTGCATACTTTTGGAATATTGACAAAGACGGAGGAAATCAACCAGTACAATCTCTTCATGTTATATAGCAAGATATAGAGGCCCACAGAAATTGAATGATAGAAAAATATCCTAATTGTAGATTTCACTGGATAGAATTTTTTTTTCTTTTTAAGTCAAGAGACCAAAGTCAACCATTCAGTTGAGTACCCATCAAAAGCACAAGATAACTATTATCAGCCAGGTGATTGTCTGCTCTGCTTAACAGTAGATCATACCCTGGCAAATGACTCATTTAATTTCAGTACCCCAGGAATGGTATTACCATATCAACTACCGACCAACAAAGGCCATGGAATCCACATCAGATTAAGGCTATATTCTGATTTAAATAAAACATTTAGGAATAAGGAGGCCAGCCATAAGTCCAAGATGCTGTAAGCAAAACTTCATCCTACAATTTCAGCTTAAGTATTCAAACGATATGCAGTTGAAGAAAGTGGTTTATTTATTTATTTTTATTTTGTGATATTTGCTAGCTAATAAAGTTAGTTGCAACAAAATCAACTCTTTGAATGTAGTTTAAATGCCTTAGGGAAAGCTTTGTGATGATGTGGTACTCTGAAATATTTCAAGCCTGAAGGGAAATGAGTTGTGATAACACAAGGAGTTCCTAATATGAATGTTCATATGAAATAAGCAAACTTTTACTGACTGGTGAAGAGTTACACAGGGACTGGTGTAAGAGTTACACAGGTCATCGTCCCTGGAAAATAGAATTAGTAGACCTCCTACCAGCAAGTGAACAGAAGGTACCACCAGCCAGTTATCTCCCCCAAGGAAAGCAGTTTTATGAGAAGAATTTTACACTCTGCTTATAGAGGAAGAGGAAGGAGCCTTTGCCTTCAATTAATGGAACAGACTGTCTGCATCATTTCCTTTCCTCTTTTCTATGCAAAAGCTTTAGGACACATATAAATTTATGGCTTTTCCTACAGAATCCAGATCAAGTGAACAGTAACTCTTCATGTTAACCTAAGCCTAGGTTATTAATAGAATCTACCACTTTTAATTTTAAGCAATGTTTACAAACAATAAATGGACAACTACAAGAAAGAAAGATGAAAATACATAACCATGTTGCCAACTCTCAATAAAGACTTGCAATGGCTGTAAAATCTTAGCAAACACAGTGGAAAAACAGTAAATAAATATAAAATTGAGTTTTTCATCAGTTCCATGAACAGGCATGACACAAATGACTAAAACGATTTTTACAAATACTAGTCTCTTTTCCAATCATTTTTTATCACAGACTTTCCAGAAGTGAGATTCTGAGACAGAAAATTTTGTATTTTATATATTTATAAAGTCAGCTTTACAGAACAAAATGAGTAGAGGAAACAAACTCTGCTAAATTTTTTTGGAATCAACATTGTAAAAGACAAATATTAAAATTGTTACACTGCAATTTAACAAGCTGCCTGGGACACTACTTATTGATGCTTTAAATCTCTAAACACTCAGTTAACTCGTTTTTACCAAGTGATGTTCTTAGAGGTCCCAAACATTTTTGTATTAAAGACCATCTTAAAAATTTTAAAGGATATGTTACCTTTCTTGGTTTTTTAAAACTTGCTAATTCCCAAGAGGGCACAGACATAATAAATAACACGAATAAAACAAGCCTTTTTTCCTATTCTCGTGGAAGGATGATTGCTACTCACTTAGGCCAAATTACTATTGTGTGACTGCTTCCTCAGGGTCACAGTTGATGTGGGCTGCAGTTCAGGGCTGCTGTTTAACAACCCATAGCCAGTTGTCAAGGGGCCATGAAATATTAAATGACCATGCCAGCATTTGTAAAACTATCCACCTAGGATGTCTCATTTTCAGCAGATAACAGGCACAGTTGTGTTAAACACTGCTGACATTAAGAACAGGACAATACACTGATCAAGGATAGCTAGAAGACACACCCTACATAAGTTTTTAAAATTTTGAAGCTCCTATGAAATGCTTGAGGCCATTAGCAATGCTCTGTGTCTTGGACCTTGGTGTTTTATTGTTGTAATCCTGCTAATTAAGTTCAATGTCACTAAGCAGCAGAAAGAAAAAGAAAAACAAACAATGAGTAACATGATCATTTTTGGACAGGAGTATAAAATCAAACTAAAAAAAAAAAATTTAAGGGCAAATAGTACTCACAAAGCAGCAGAGAATGCAGGAAAACATGTCAGTTGATTTAAATGCTGCAATCTTGATGTTGGTTACAAGTCAGGAATAGCTCCCTTTTGTTACAAGAAAAATGATTCCAGAAATGTTTTTGCTTTAAATTTGGTAAAAGATTCTAGCAAGGGATTTTTAACTGATTAGCATGGAATAAAATATACTGTTAGCATGCATATTTCTATTTAAAAAGGAATGACTAGAAATTATGCACATTTACTCTTTGTGAAGTAGTCAGTCACAGGTAAGTGGAAACTTAACTGAAAAAGATAATAAACAAAAAGAAAAACAACACAACTGGTGCATTCCTGTTTGCTACTGACCCTCTTCAGTTGTTGCTGTAATTGTTCCCTCATGGACTCAGGACAATTGTCCAGCTGGGTCTTCTGCTCGGAGTAAAGCTCCTGAAGCCTCTCTAGTTTTTCCCTTTCAGCATCAAGCTTTACCTTCTCCTGAAGTTCAGAAATCAGAAAATAGAAGAACAGAAATTACCTTCACACCCCAAGCAGCCGCTAGTGCACATTTCCTACGCTCAACACAAATAAACACACACAAACGCTGGATCTTCCAAGGAATGTAGCGACATATCTTGTTAGTGGCTAGGATAAAAGGGCATAACTGGAAGTTAAGCAAAGGGGGTCCGGTTCCTGCATTCTCACAACATAGTCCACTTGGCTGGGTATTGACAATGACTCCCTTTCCTTATTTCCTGCCACCATGTTACTAAAGTAGGGGAAGCAATGGCAATATTGAATTGGTCAACACAGAACAGAAGAAATGGAACCAAATTTCTAAGTTAGCCTTACAGGGAGTCATCAGTCAGAGAAGCAGACAAAGGAAAGGGGCAATTACCTGAAGCCATGTTCCGATTTGCTAAAGGCATTAGCTAAGCAAGTTTTGAAAATTACTGAAATTTTGCTATTTTGTTCACAGCTCCAAGGAACTCCAGGTACATCAACTGATATTCTGGTTACCTGAGACATTGCTAGCTATTTGGAAAATGTCAAAGCAAAAGCAATTAAAAATGTTTATGCCAAGGAAAGCATCTAATTCAGGAGCTGAGAGAGCTAGTAAAAATGCAGGACTAACAAAGTTGCAAAAGGAAGTAATATTAGGCAGCTCAGATGTACCAAACTGTGACACTGACTACAGAAATACACATTTCCTACAATGACCAACATAAATAAATTGAAACATGGACTGTGATAAAAAGAACATAGCCACAGGTCAGAAAAGGGGGAAGAGAGGAGAGAAGCAAAAGAGAGGAGTAGAGAAGGGAGAAGAGGAGAGGAGAAAGAAGAGGGGAGGGGAGGGAGGGGAGGGGAGGGGAGGGGAGGAGAGGAGAGGAGAATCAAATCCCTCCCAAGTCACAAAGGGCCAAGTGACCTGAATTTGTCCAGATTATAACAGCAAATACTTTGACACAGTGATTTATATGGTCTTATGATGCTACTTCTGAAATCTCGAAATGTAACTTCAATTTATTTAGTGCCAATCTTCCTAACATATATTCCCTTTATGATGTTGGAACACTTAATGCAAATTTTAGACATGATTCTTTTCTTTGTGTAACAGCTCAGCCCTAAGAAAGCATTGCATGAAGCACTATGACTATTTGACCTCCAGTAAGTAAAGTGGTCAGCGCCTTACCTTCCTTATGTTCATTCTGTGTTAACCGAAAGAAATTAAATTAGCTTCTAAATATATCACAGGAGAACTTTTTTAAGGGACAAAATTCTCAAATAGTTCTATAAAATTATCCTTATTCTAATTCCTTCACTGAAATGCTCATGATTTCTTGTGTGATCATATATTTAGATTCTTTATAACAGATGTTATAGGTTTAAATTTGAAACTATAAACATCAATGCCTATACTAACTTACTTGAGTCTCCATTTTTTACTTTAATCTTAAAATTTCAAGGATATTTTAGAAATGTACACTTAACATTAACATTAGAAACATATTTTTTCACAAATAATTAATCACCCCAAAGTGAAAAATCATAGAATCCTATTTTATATATCAATTGCAAGTGATTTTATAACAACCTAAATTTTAACAGACCACAAAAATTTTCTTTATCTTTAACAAGAGTGACTTTGCTACCTGTGTACATCTGTTGTTCAGGGATTGGAGAAAGTAATAGTACTATCAACAAAGAAAAGGATCCCAAGTGTTAACTCACAGTAAAATTGAATACAATAGTACTGGTTAGATTTGGGCTTTAGTTTCCATTTCTCCTTAATAAATCCAACAATACAGAATGCTTTCTGTCTTTTGGCTAAACATAGACACACACACACACACACACACACACACAACCTGTATTACTTGGTCTTCTGTTTGTAGATCAAAGATTGCACTACTTACACAGCCAAAGAATTTTATCTGAAAAGAATTCAATTTCTAGATGCTGTTGCTTTATCATCAGATTTTGTAGCAACTCTGATCCAAACTAAATTTTTTAAAAAGAGAAACTAATCATTACAATTAAATATCACACATGCACAGCCCTAAAATGTATGTGAACTAGAAAATATTGATGTAATATTTTACAATGTGGAAAGCCACTGACCTAAAACACAGGTCTCAAATCTGAAGAAATGACCAACTTCCTCTGATGTTTTCCATGATTTAATTGCTAATAACAAACAGAATTCAACAACTAATAAAAAATACCTTATGTTTACATAGTGTCTTCCTTCTGAGGTGCTCAAAATGTTTTATTATTCCATACAAGGGTGCAGTTAGAAGAATTACACAAGCAGGCACCATTAGAACCTTCCGCAGCTTCCCTGTGGTTCATTAGTACCGCTGTGACCACTATCTAGGTCTCCAAGCAGAAGCTTAGAGGGGCCAAATTTGGGCCAAAGGAAGTCAAGGAGGATGAAAGAAAGACTAGTGGCAGGCGGGCCCAGCCATAAATCACACAGGGCTGTAAGGGCCAGCAGTACAACCACTCGGAGCCAGAAAGTAATTAATATCCCTCTCTCCTGTATACTGCCCAAGAAGTTTTCAAAGGAAAATTAGCACTAGGCAAGTAACTAATTATCACCTTCTACAGGGAAGGTAAAATCAACAAATGAGACTGCACTTGAGGGTTCAGGGATTCTTGCTTTTCACAGGTAAAATATTAAAAGCGGGTGTTATTCCCTTTACTCAGATTTAAATTAGAAAACTCACCTACCTACTATAGGCACCACAATATTTTCCAAACACTAAAGAGAGCATAACTTTTTTTTTTTTTTAAGATTCATGAATCTATTCTCAGGGGATAGACAAACTAAAAGGCATTTTTAATAAACATAACCAACTTCACTTTGTTGACAAAATATCACAAGGAATGCTTTAGGAAAATCCAGATGTATGTATCAGAGGGCATCTATAAACCAAGAGCAGGAGGTGAATTCCCTAGAGATGAGCCGTTTCTGTTTGTGCTGTTCTCACACTGACGTGACCTCCTTGATGGACCAGCAAACTCCAGCTGGGTCACAAATTCATTGCCAATTCTGCCAATTTTGTATATTCACCTAAAGTTTCATATTCACATATGGCCAAAGGAAAATTCTTCCTGGGTAAGTTAAGGTAGAAATTCGTATATAACATCAGGTCTATCACACCATCCATTGGAGTTCATAGGGGTTGGTTTCAGGTCATATCACCTCATACAACATCCATGGATGCTGAGGTCCCATGTACAACATTTAGTGGGTTTTGCATATAACCTGCACATATCCTACCACATACAGAAAACATGTCTGGATTACTAATAACACCTAATCCAATATAGGTGCTAGGTCAATAGTAACTATGTTTTATTGTTTAGGAATTCAAGACAGGGCAAAAAGTTTGGACATGTTCAGTATAGATGTACTTTTTTTTCCTGATTATTTTCAATCCTGGGTTGGTTGAATGCATAGATAAGGAACCCAAGAACAGAGAGGGCCAACTGTACCTTAAATCATTTCTAGATTATTTATAATACACCAAGCAACGTAAATACCATGTAAATAGTGGTTATACTGAATTGTTCAGAGAATAATAACTAGAAAAAAGTCTGTATATGTTCATGTTTTGTTTTTTGGAATATTTTCCATTCTTGGTTGGTTGACTCTGTGGATAGGGGAGGGCCTGCTGCATTTATTTCCACAGTTGGCTGTTTGTTCTTCTAGTCAACAAAGCTAAATGAGGATTGGAGGCAAGGAAGAGAAGCGGGTACTTGAACAAGGCCCTCATGCATCATGGCCCATTTGGCTCAGCTGTCCTTAGCTCATATTGAACATTAGAGTAATTTCAGTGAGTTTTTTTTTAACAAGTTTTATTTTTAAGTTATTTGAAAGGCCGAATTACAGACAGAGGAGGACAGAAGCCGAAGTCAGGAGCTACTTCCAGGTCTGCCATGTGGGTGCAGGGCCCCATGCACTTGGGCCATCTTCTGCTGCTTTCCCAGGCCATTAGCAGGGAACTGGATAGAAAGTGGAGCAACCAGGACTTGATATGGCACCTATATGGGATGCTGGCATTGTGGGCAGTGGCTTAACCCTTTACACTACGATGTCGGCCCCTGGGTGAGCTTTTAAATATATTTATTTCCCAGGTCCCAACTTACACATAGATCCAGAATCATAAGACTTAGTAACAAGCACTTTAAAAATCTCTTCAAGTTTCCTAATATGCACCAAGGTTGAGAACCACTGACAGCCAGCCAGTAACAAGTTTTCTTTCTTTTAAGTTGTATTCTTGAAGGAAGAAACTGAAACTTAATGTGCTAGCTGTATTTGAATTCCAGAAAATTCTTGCATATCAAATGCATTACCTTTATCTGATAAGCAAAAGCTTCATAGTTACCTTGAAAAGATTATTAATTTATTATACTGTAGGGCTGCCAGATAAAATAGAGGACACCTAGTTAAATTTCAATTTCAGATGGAAAAAAATGAGTCTTAATAACTAAGTGTGTCCCAAATACTCCATTGGACATAATTATACTGAAAAAAGGTAAAAACATAATTGCAGTTTAATTGAAATCCAAATGTAACTGAACTTCATGTATTTTGATTTGCTAAAGCTGACGATTCTATTAACTTGATAAAGATTTTCTTAAAAATTAAGGCCCATCTTTGTAACCTCCAGTTTAGCACATAATTCATCACACACGGCACTTGGGCCACATTTCATGAAATGCTGGGTGAGATCAGAAATTGATGCAATTATTTGTTAACCATAGTTCCTAAGCCATCATTTTTAAGGAAGGCCCATCCAAAGTCCTCTCTGAGAATCTCTTTCCTTCTACTTCCTAAAGCTGATGTATGGTATGGGAGGCAGGCACCCTTATAGGTTCATAGATATGGCAATTATTTTAGGACCATAATAATTTTCTGAAATTCTTTTTTTTTAAGATTTATTTTATTTATTTGAAAGACAGAGTTACAGAGAGAGGTAGAGACA